GCACTCCTGGGCGTTAATCCCAGAGAAATGAAGCCTTATGTTCACATAAAACCCTCTATTTGTCATAGCTAAAAAGTAAAAAACAGCCCAGACGTCCTTCAATGGGTAAATGGTTAGACAGTAGTATACACAATAATGGAATATTACTCAGCAATAAAAATGAAGTACATGCAACAACTTGGATGAATTTCAAGGGAATTATGCAGAGCAAAAAAAAAAAAGCCAATCTCAAAAGGCTAGTGATTCAATTTAGGTAACATTGTTGAAATCACATAATTATAGAAATGGGAAACATATTAGTGATTGACAAGGGTTGGGGGGTAATGAAGTGGGAGGGAGATGAATTTTGCTGTAAAATGTCAACATGAGGAGATCCCTGAGGTGATGGGAATGTTCTGTATCTTGACTGTATCAATGCCAACATCCCAGCTGTGATATTATACTGTAGTTCTGCAACTTGTTACCACTGGGGGAAACAGGGAAAGGATCTCTTTGTATTATTTCTTATGTACATGTGTACAGACATTTACCTCAAAATTAAAAGTTTTAACAAAAAATGTTTTGATAAAGCTGTGCAACTGGCTCACACATGTTCATCATATAGTCTATTCTTCCCTATATACTTGAAATATTTTGAATAACTTTAAAATTTATTCTAAATCTTGTGAAGTGTGTTCTGAGTTTGGGGGAGTGGAAGGCTATGCAGCAACCAAGACTAATTTTCATCTTTGACTTTTATCTGAAAGTGCACCCTTCAAACATAATGGGTATTCCTCATACATGTCTGTGGTTGGTTAAGGTTATTAAGTTTGAGGGAGAAAAATAAGATCTGAATGAGTTTCTCCTTTAAGAACAGTGAGCAGCTTCCAAGCAGTATAATGCCTGTCAACAAGAATAAAGGTTAAAGAAAAAGATTTTGGCTTCTTTACTTTAGAACCGTTAATCCTAAACTCCTGATACTCAGGGAAATTATTTGGGTGACATCAAATCTGGTAGTTCACTTTCTTATTGTTTTTCTGCATGTTAGAGATCCTTATTGTTTTTGGTTGTTTCAAAGTCTTTAAAAAATTTTTTTAGATAATTAGGCAAGTTATAAAACAATGTTTAATGTGAAAATTAATGATTTTAAAATTGTGGGCATTCCCTGGCGGTCCAGTGGTTAGGACTCTGTGCTTTCATTGCTGAGGGCACGGGTTCAATCTCTGGTTCAATCCCTGGTCAGGGAACTAAGATCCCACAAGCCCCCGCCCCCCTAAAAACTGTATCAGTTGTTAAGATTCAGTGGTAAGTTTACTAAATCTTAATTAGAAACACATGGTATTCTTTGGTAGCTTGTTTCCAATCACTTGCTGCCCTTACTATAAGATGACACATCCTTACGTGGTGTGCATTCCTCCTGGTATACTCTCCTAATGATGTTTTTGAGTCATGCTACTTTGTGAGAAGTGATTGATAAATCCTGCCTCTGAGAGAAAGCTTTAAAAGACATCACAGGGTTTGGCCATCTCCGGGATGTCCTTGGTAAGGGTCTCACAATAAAGAGAACATGCAGCTGAACCAGCTAACTCATAAAGGACACGTATCATAAATGAGAAATCTGTTTCTGTAAGTCACTGAGACTTGGGGATTTTTTTGTTTCTGTAGCATAACCTAGTGAAAGCTGAGTAACTTGGACTTAAAACCTACAAAAGCTCAATTTATTCATCCTATTTTCTTCTTACTGGAGGTGAATAAAGAATGATTTGGGGGGGCGGGGCGGGGCGGGGCGGGGTAAAAAAAAAAAAAAAAAGAATGATTTGGAAGTTTTCCTAAATCTTTACATACAACATAGAAGCTTTATTTGCTTAAATGACTTTGACATGAGAATGGTTTAAACTTAAATTCTGATTGCTAACTCCCATTATTTATAATTTATATACATGTGCTATTATATTAATATATACATAAAACATGCAGGAATAGAAAGTTTTAAATAATTAGGTAAAAATGAAATATATGGCATTTAAAATATTAATAGTACAAAATCCTTTTGTTCTGGTTTATTTGTGACTGATTTTTTTCTTTTTCTTTCTTTCTTTTTTTTTCAATAATATAACACTTTGGATTCAGCCAAAGATCTGACTCCTGGATTCAGTTTAGTTAGTTTAAATGGGTATCATGGCTGAAGAAGACAATTTACCAATGTGGATAAAGCCCATTCCTTAGGCTGTACTTATTAATTAAATCATGATACTATCAATTTCACTCACCAATTCTAAAACCAAAACAAAAGCAAAAGAAAACAACCTTATTTGCTTTAATTTACACTATCTATGATCACGACCAGCTACGCAGGGACACAAGCTCAGCATGCTAGCAGGAAAATTCTCTTCAGTTCCCCTGCAACTCTCATTCAGATTCCCATTTATATCTCGTTTTAAGTGTTATTAATTTTTACCTAAATTCTCCCTTTTTTAAAATATAAAATTTACAGAAAATTTGGAAGAACAGTATAATATATATTTTTTTGTTTTATTTTTAAATTTTTTGGCTGTGCCTAGGGGCTTGCAGGATCTTAGTTCCCTGACCAGGGATTGAACCCGCACCCTCGGCAGTGAAAACACGGACTCTTAACCACTGGACCATCAGGGAATCCCTGGAAGAACAGTATAATATTAACATTTTGCCCTATTTGTTCTGGGTTTTTTTTTTTAATATTTGTTTGTTTTAATATTTATTTATTTGGCTGCATCAGGTCTTAGTCGCAGCACGCGGGATCTTTAGTTGTGGGATGTGGGATCTAGTTCCCGGACCAGCGATTGAACTCAGGCCCCCTGCATAGGGAGCATGGAGTCTTATCCACTGGACCACCAGGGAAGTCCCTGCTCTCTGTTTCTACACATACATACACTCTTTTTTTCTTTTGCTGAACCATTTGTGGGTAAACTCTAGACATAATTTACTTTTTGTTTTTTAAACAAAGAGAAAGTAAACATGAGGTTTATAAACTCCAGTAAGTAACAGTACCTAGCTAGAATTTTATAATATTGTTTTGATTCATCATATTTATTTTTTGGTTACCCTGTTTATAACAAATGAGGTTTTCTATTTACTTAACAAGAAAAGATTCCTTTAAGAATCTGCTGCAAACCTAACCAATTAAAACTATTAATTAAATAATACATGGCAAAAATCATGAAGGTGATACTCAAATGACTAAAGGCTGGGAAACACTGGTAATTAAGAACTCAGGCTCCAAAATGTAAGATAGCTTTGCTTTCAGTCTCTGTTCTGAAACAAGCTGTATGACACTGAAGAGGGCACTGAATCTCTCTGACTGCAGTTTCCTTATCTATAAAATGGGAATAAAAATATTACCTATAGAGTTGTTATGAGGACTGAATGATATAATGCACACAATGAATACAGCACAGGTAAACAACAAATGGTGGTCATTATTATTATTACTGCTTATTACCATTATTCAAGAAAGAATGTTTTAGACAGAAATGGGGGTTGTGAGCCAATGAAAGCACGGAAACATAGACAAATATTAAAAACAGAACATGAAATAGTGTCATGCCACTGGAAAGATCATTCCTGATATTAATAATATAAGAAATAAAAAATTCTTGCCACTTCCTGCTCACTGTGTGCCAGGTACAATTCCAAGTGCTTTATATAATTCCTTTTTCAATTCTTTCTATAACCGTACAGGCAAGTTATTATTAAATCCGCGTTTTACAGGTAAGTGGCAAAGCTGGGCTTTGAACTTAGGTCTGTCTGACACCCATGTTTTTTTTCTTTAATCCCCCCACCCCGCAACCCCACCACCTTCTGTGGCTGTTCCTCTTCAATCTCCTCCGTTTGCAACTCACTCCCTTAGATTTAAACACTGAAATTCTGAAGGCTCTATCCTGGACTATTTTCTCCATCTATAGGGTTCTTGGATGTTCTAGTTCACCCCTATGGCATCAATTACCTTCTATGTGTGCATGATTCCCAAATCTATAATTTTCAACCGAGAGTGAAAAATCTTGAGTGCCAGGTCAACTGATTGTCTCTGGACAGCCCCACTTGAATATTTCATGGGTCCTTAAAAATCAACAATTATGTCCCAGCAAACAATCTCTCCTGGTGTTTCTTTTATTAATAAATGACCAGTCAGTGGCTCATGCAGAAAACGGGGAATCAATGTGATACCACCTTCTCCTTATTTTCAGCATCCAATCCTTCATCAAGTTCTCTTCATTTTATTTCCTAAGAAGTTCTCAAAAACATCCATCTCTGCACCCACCTGCTACCACCCTAAGTTAAGCCAACATCTCACCTGCTCTCACTACATCAGCCTCTTAATGATTCTCCTTACATCCACTTTCGCTCTCCCCTCTCCTTCTAATCACTCTCCAATCAGCAGTCAGAATGATCTTTTTGAAACACAATTCTGATTGCGTCATTCCACGCTTTATACCAATCAATGGCTCTCTGATGCTCTCAAGAGAGAATTCAATGTATAAATAGTCAAGTACAGACCTACTGAAGACACAGGTTCAAATCGTGGCTATGCTCTGTGAGCATCCTCACAACACTTCAGTTTCCTCATCAGAAAAATGGAGATATCACCTCTTTAAAAAATTGTTATGGGGATTAGATGAGACAATTCAATATAAAGCAGTATCTAAGCCTTGCAAACGACAATACTGCTCCTTTCATGAGAACAGTAGAGTTCTTCTAACAATGTGATTTCATGGCATCAGGTCCCTAAACTTTCCAAGATGCCATTCTATAATTCTTCTAAGTCAGCAGTCAAATATAGAGGTCACCAGATTTTTCTTAAATGATTTATCTTCTTTTTTTCACTCTTACAAACATATATTCATTTTATTTTGAAGGAAGCCACCTAAGATGCAGACTACACTTATTTCTAAATATAACATTAAGCTCCTAGTATGTAGCTCTTAGAACATAGACAGTTAACAACAAACAATAACTTTGCAAACATTGGCTAAAGAGGCAAGTACCTGTATAGCAATAGGTCCCTGGGACATTTGAGAGCTGTAATTCATTCCTATCATGCCTTGCACATTAGGCTGCATGACGGAGACCATAGGAAATCCTTGTTGCTGCATCGGCATCAGACCTGCTGAAAAACATAAAGATATCACTAAGGTCAATGTGTTTTACAGTTTATTTTCTTAAAACCATAAGCACCTAAAGGACTTGTTACTTGGGAGATGGCACAGTATAGAGGAAAAGGCACAGGCTCTGGAGTGAGACAGACTTGAGTATGAATTCCAATTCCATCATTTACTTAGCTATGTGATCTTGGGCAAGTTACAAAACTTCATCTGTAAAATGAAGATAATAATACCTATTCCACAGAATTTTTGTGCATACTTTAAAAATACACAATATGGCCTAACTGGCCTTCAAGATGGCCCCCAGCAATCTCTGCCTCTTGGTATTCATATCCTTGTCCTTCCCTCCCATACTGAATAGGGCGGACCAGAATAACCAATAGGATATTGTGGAAATGACGGTGTGTAACTTCCAAGGCTGGTTCTTCTTCCTTTCCCTTTCTTTTTTCTTTTCTCACTCCCTGACTCCCTCTCTTTATCATATTTATTTATTTATTTGGCTGCGCCGCACCAGGTCTCAGTTGCAGCATGCAGGTGTGGGATCTTCGTTGCAGCGTGCGGGCTCTTAAGTTACGGCATGTGGGATCTAGTTCCCCAACCAGGGATTGAACCCAGGCCCCCTGCATTGGGAGCGCAGTCTTAACCACTGCACCACCAGGGAAGTCCCCCAAGGTTCCTAATAACCACTGCAGCTTCCTTCTTGCTCTCCTGGATCACCTGTTGGGGAAACCCACTGCCACATCATGAGAATACTCAAGCAGTCCTAGGGGGAATGGAGAATCCATGTGGCAAGGAACTGAAATCTCTTGCCAAAAGGCAGCATGAATTTGCCATCTATGTGAGTGAGCCATCTGGGAAACAGATCTACCAAACTCATCAAAGCTTCCCATGACTACAGTCCTAGTTGACACCTTTAATGCAATCTCCTTGGCCCTAAGCCAAAATCACCTAGTGAGGCCACTCCCAGATACCTAACCCACACAAAGTGTAAAACAGTAAAATGTTTATTTTCTTTAAGTTTTGGGGTAATTTTTTATACAGCAGCAGATTACTAGTAGTTAAGAGTTAATACTAATTAAGTTACTTTTAATACAAAAGTAGTTAAGAGCATGAACTCTGGAAGCCAACTAAAAATGTCACTTACTAGGTTTGGGACCTTAAGCAACTTGATTAACTTCTTTCTGTGCCTCGGTTTCACATCTGTGAAACTGTTTAATACCTAATATGCTCAAAGAAATGATATTCCTCTTCTCTTTCCTTACACGAATAATTAAGATAACACCACAAACCAGCTATCAGCATGCAAAGTATATAATGCAATGGCAGGAAAACCATCATGAAAGTATGTTTTATAGTATAGTACCTCCCAAACTTTTCCAATGAAGTATTCCCAAGAGTACAGGAGAATAAAGATTACGTCCCTTCAGGGATTTAATAAATATGAAATGCCTACCACATTTTAGGCACAGTTCTAGATACCTGGTATGCAACAGTGAATAAAACAAAATCCCTACATAGCCTGAACACAAATTTCATCCTAATTTTGCACTGTACAACATATTACATCCATGCTGGTTCTAGTATAAGGAACTTTTTAAAATCAAATTTTGATTAAAAAAATTAAAGGTCTGGTAAAGTATACCATATTTATCTTGTGGATTCTGTGTACCTTCAAAGTTATTCATACAGAGTTTAATTTCAGAAGCATGGACACCACATTTGTAGGTAACATTTATTAGTGGCAAACTATTCATTTATATTAATCATTTTTTCAAATATTTGAGGGCCTACTCCATGTCAGGCACCATTCTAGGGACACAACATTGAACAAAGCCAGGTCTTTGCTCTCATGTAACTTACACTGTAATTGGGGGAGACAGATAATAAAAAAAGAAAAAAATAAGTGGATATCAGGTGGGGATGGGGGAAAGGAAGAGCCAGGGAAAGGAGTGGTTGCTGTTTCATAGTCAGAAAAGGTTTCTCCAAAAGGGTGGCATTTAAGCAAGCACTTGAAGGGAGTGAGCCATGAGGATATTTGGTTAGAGTATTCTAGACAAAGGAACACCAATTGCGAAGGCCTTGAGGTGTCATGGAGAATTAGAATGCATAGACTGGGGACTTCCTTGGTGGCGCAGTGGTTAAGAATCCGCCTGCCAATGCAGGGGACACGGGTTCGAGCCCTGGTCTGGGAAGATCCCACATGCCTCAGAGCAACTAAGCCCACACACCACAACTATTGAGCCTGTGCTCTAGAGCCTGCGAACCACAACTACTGAGCCCACGTGCCTAGAGCCTGTGCTCCGTAACAAAAGAAGCCACAGCAATGAGAAGCCCACACGCTACAAGGAAGAGTAGCTCCTGCTCGCCGCAACCAGAGAAAGCCCACGCGCAACAACAAAGACCCAACACAGCCAAAATAAATAAATAAATTTACCAAAAAAAAAAAAAAAAGAACACACAGACTGAATATAGCACAGTAAGATGTTTTCCCTCTTATGCCTTTGGACCTACAGTTTTATTTATTTTCCTAAGTGTATTTAAGTCGAACAGGTAACTCAAGGATTTGGTACAACATTCAACGGCACAGAAGTATACACAGTAAAAAACAAGTCTTGTTTCTTTCCTGTCTCCTATTCACCTACTCAATGATCTTGTAGCTACTCTTCTTGTCTGTTCCTTGTATATGCTTTCAGAAATAACCCCTGCACAATTTAATGCCTTCAAAAGATCAAAAAGTCCACTCTAACATACTTTGTAAAAAAATCTTGAAAACAATTCCAAATTCCAGAAGAAAAAATATCAGGCAGCCTTCTGGGCTCTCTTCTTGTCCGTTCCTTTGCTCCATATGTAGATTTTTACTTGAAAGTTTATAAAAATGCAAAATGAGGAGTCACAATAATGAACACACAACTCTCTAATGCCCTCCTAAAGTACAAAAGATCTCAAACCATTTGATCGAAATCTGGGACACATCTAATTACAGATAGCTTAAATAATGCATAAATGTGAGCACAATGAAAAGAATACAACTGACCCTTGGAAAAATTTACCTGAAACTCAATCTCCATCACTGATTATAAATGGAGACACTAACCACCTGCTACTGAGCTGCTCTTTATCATTCATCTCTACTGGTGACCTAGGAGTCTCTGTTTCTCTAGCCAGTCTACCATAACCAGTTAACACTGGCTTTGTGAGCAGGGCCGGTTTTCAGAGCAGCTTGGCCTGTGGAGAGGAGGGGGGCACATTGGAGTGGGAGAAGTGAGCAGAAAGAAGGGCAGACATTCTTTCATCAGTTTTGTGTTCCAGTGACACAGAAGCATGAGTCAAGGTTATATCCCTTCACTACTGTTTCCTTGAAGACAAAGCTAGAATCAGTACTGGTGGGCCCTTGTCTGAAACCAAGAGAGAAGGGATATACCTAGTGGAGAAACTGCTAGGAATAAAACTGAGACTTAAAATAGTTTAAACGGAATCAGAATATGTCATCTCTTATGTACATGATTAAAATAAGACCAAATTCATATAGAGAAAACATAAGTATAAAATAACTAAAGGGGTTCATTTATTCATTCAACAAGCATCTATAAAGACCCTATTATTTTCTATCAACATGCTGGGTGCTGGAGATAGTGACGAGCATAAGGCAGACATAGCCCCTGCCCCACGGAGCTAACAATCTAGAAGACAGACAGGAGGAAGATGGCATTCAGAGAACTACAACTCATTTCATCTTTGTCACCTGTTTCTTTAATACTTTTGTCTTGAAAGTCTCCTTCATCTCTGAGATTAAATAATAACCTGTCAATATAATGCTTAAATAAGTTTGGGAGAAATGAGGAATGATCCTTTTTATTTGCCAAATTACACAATTTTTGAGAAATTTTAAGAGTAAGCTGTCATAGAGGTTCGAGACTATAAGAAAATTTTACTCTATTTGGCAGCAATAGAACTTTTTTATCCACTTAATCCCCAAGTTCAGAAACATAATAGTGAAAAATGAAAGTTGAAAACTTAACCTTTCACATACCTTGAGGGGGTCTTATTCCACCTGCAACTGGAAACATGAAGCTGAAAACAGAACAAAAATATATCAGGATTTTCCTATGTGCAAAGAGTTCAGATAAAACATGTAACATTTCACATAAAGTAAAAAATTATAGCCTGGGCCGTGGCATCTCTTCCATAGTACAATATTGAATTATCCACCATCAATACAGATTGACCATCCACAGGACACATGACAGTCAGCATGTTAGTGTAGGGAGAAAATTTTTGAGCCAGAAGACAGAAGACCTTGAAACTGGTCCTGGTTCTGTCACTCCCCTGGATTCCCCTGGATTCCAATGTGACTCCCCTGGATTCCAATGTGACTCCCCTGGATTCCAATCTCCCCATCCATAAAATGAGAGGGCTGGATTAGATTCAATTCAGTGAACATTTATTGGGTGCCTACTACATGAAAGGCCTGAATGAGCTCAGTTTCGCTGAAGACACAGATGCAGGCAAATAACTTTAACATAGGACAGAATGTGCTAAGGGCTGTGAGAGGGCCAGAATACTAACAGAAATGAGAAGAAAAAGATTAATTTTATGGTTTATATCTTGGGAAGTTTCTTGGAGGTATCTCTTGAGCTGAATCTTAAAGAGAGGCACACTATATAGCTTGAGCAGAATCTCAAGAGGCCGGAGCTGTAGTGTGTTCAGAGAAATGATTTAAGGTTGAATAGAAGATATAGGACTGAAAAAAGTAAGCAAAATGTAGAGGGCCTTTAAAATGTTTGATTTTATTTTGAGTACTGTATAAAGTCAGAGATTCTTTTTAAAACTGTGGTAAAATATACACAATATAAAATTTTACCATTTTAACCATTTTTAAGTGTTCAGTTCAGTGGCATTACAATGTTGTACAACCATCACCATGATCCACTTCCAGAACTTTTTCATCATCACAAACAGAAACTCTGTACCCATTAAAAAATAACTTCCCATTACTTTTTCTCCACAACCCTTGGTAACCACTATCCTACCTTCTGGCTTGATGAACTTGCCTATTCTAGCTACCTTATATTAAGTGGAATCATACAATACTTGTCCTTTTGTATCTGGCTTATTTCACTTAGCATAATGTTTCCAAGGTTCATCATGTTGTAGCACACATGAGAATTTCATTCTTTTTTTATGGCTGAATAATATTCCATTGTATGTATGTACCACATTTTGCTTATCCATTCATCTGTTGATGGACAGCTGGGTTGGGTGTTGTGAATAATACTGCTATGAACACTGGTGTACAAGTATTTGTTTGCGTCCCTCTTTCAATTCTTCTGGGTATCTAACTAGGAGTGGAATTGCTGGGTCATAGAGTAATTCTATGATTACTTTTTGAAAAACTGTCAAACTGTTTTCAACAGCAGCTACGCCATTTTACATTCCCACTAGCAATGCATCAGGGTTCCAATCTCTCCACATCCTCACCAACACTTGTTATTTTCTGAATTTTTGTTTGTTTGTTTATAATGATAGTTATCCTAATGGGTATGAGGGGGTATCTCATTGTGATTTAGATCTACATTTCCCTGATGTCATACATTTTTCTCTAGTGAAATGATCAGAAATGTGCTGTAGGGCTTCCCTGGTGGCGCAGTAGTTAAGAATCTGCCTGCCAATGTAGGGGACATGGGTTCGAGCCCTGGTCCGGGAAGATCCCACATGCCGCGGAGCAACTAAACCCGCACCACAACTACTGATCCTGCGCTCTAGAGTCCGTGCGCCACAACTACTGAAGCCCGCGTGCTACAACTACTGAAGCCCGTGCGCCTAGAGCCCAAGCTCTGCAACTAGAGAAGCCACCGCAGTGAGAAGCCCACACACCGCAACAAAGAGTAGCCTCCGCTTGCCGCAACTAGAGAAAGCCTGAGCAGCAACGAAGACACAGCACAGCCAAATAAATAAATAAATAAATAAAAGAAATACACTTACTAAAAACAATCTAGATTTATTAAAAAAAAAAAAGAAATGTGCTGTAGGTTTCTCTGGTAATGGGGTATGACAGAGAAGACTTGGAGTAACAAGAATTAGCTAAGAAACTATTACAATAATCTTAATAAGAAATGAAAAGGGTCATAACCAGAGTAGTGGGAATGGAAAAGAAGAGGTGAATGAAATCTATTTAAACGGAAGAATCAATAGGACTTAGCAACTACCAGGATGGAGAACAGCACTGAAAAAGCAGAAAGGGCTGAAGATGCTGCCGAGATTTTGGGCCTGAGCAACTGTAAGGATGGTGACACTGTTTACCTGCTGACAGGAACCCAGTGTGAGCAGGTCTGGGGAGAAAGGTGTTAGGAGGGTGCCCACGAGGAGCAATCTAATAGGCAACCAGAAAAGTTAACTCCAGTTCAAGGGAAGGGAGCTGGATCCCTTCCCTTGCATCAATCTACCCAGGCTCTTTTAAATAAAGGTTGTGGATGAAAGAGCCAAAGGGATGTATATATAGTGAGAAGACAACAAAGGAAAACCTTGGAATTCTTAGTGAAAACTGAGTATGGAATGGTCACTGAGAACCAAAGAAGTTGCTTATAACTGAGGGTTATAACTGAGGAAGGACTGCATTTAAGGAAAAAGTGTCTAACGCTGTAGAGAAGCTGATAAGAATGAGGATTACTAAATAAAGATTGCTGTTTTCGAAAATGGTAATCTTTGAGTGAACGGTTTCAACAGAGGAAGAGGAAGGGACCTGCATAGACAGAGATTTAGGATACAAAAGATATACTTAGTGATAGCTAAAACAAGGTTTTTGAGAGGATGGGATTAACATAGCAAAAGGAAGAGGGACTTCCTTCTCTGAGACCAGAGGGAAAGGAAATGGGACAGATCAAGGAAGAAAAAGTCTGAGTGGGAAAAGCCCTTAATCTGGGAGTCAAGGATCTGAAGGGGCTTTCTGGATAGTCTTTAAAGATATAGTGAGATCAGGAACGGTATGGCAAATTTATGTGTCCTTGCATTTTTCTATTACACAACACTCCCCCTTCCCAGGAAAAGGGCTAAAAATCAAACTTTAGAGTCTTTTAGCTCTAAAATATTTTGATCAACAAGATTTTTTTGTAAGGTGGTTCACAAATTTCTAGTTGGACATCTACCTTGTAGAGGATCTGAACCATTCGCAAATTCTGCTGACAAGCGAGCCCACACCAAGGAAAGGTCTGAACAGTGAACAGCTTTTCCGAACTGCACACAAGACGTATTAGCTAAGTAATGTGTTAACTGGATAAAGTGTTTAAATTGCAAGTTGAAATCTGGTAGGACTCAATTTTTTAAAAAGTTACTCATACACTAAGATTTAAGTAGTCAACCTATTGAGACTTTCCAAATCAGTCTTAAAGATTACAATCACCAATAGGGCTTAGTGGCTAAGTAAAAACTGGACACTTGAGTGATTTTCTTTTCTCTAGCTCTGCCACAAAGTAACCATGAAGCTCTATGCAATCCCTTTCACCACCCTGTCCTGTTTGCCCTTTGTCAAACAAGGACACAAGTTTGCCAAGCTCCTAACTAAGACAACCAAATAATGTACAGACGTATGAAGGCTACTTCAAAAACATAAACAAAAACTAAATTAAGAACATTACTGACAAACATGACTTACTCCAGTAATTATACAACCTAAACTACCAACCGACCTATGTACCATTCATAGGACTCTCTGAAATGTTTAGACTACTAACAGCAACATGCTTGAAGACTGGTTAGACAAACAGCTAAGATATTGATAAGACAGCAAAAGTTTGGCAAAAAAATGGGCAACAAAATGACAAACAATTTGAAGCAGAACTGTGAGCCCTGCTTGTCACATGCCTATCTCATTCATCCTCCCCTTTCAGTTACCTTTGCTACTAACCCAGATCAGCCTTCACTTCTCTCTGAGGCCTGGACTCAGCAAGACTTCCTAATGGATCTCCTCACCTGCAGACTCTGTGGCTTCTAACGCAGCTCACATAGCACAGGTGAGGTGCATCTAGCTAAGGGACCATTTGATAAGCTCCTCCTGGGATTAAAACAATGTAATGATTCCCCCTTAAACTGAATTATTTTAGTTTATATTCAAGGCCCTCTCCAGTTTTAACACAACTTTTTCAGTTTTATCTCACAAAACTCTTTTCTCCCACTCAGTGCCACAGTCCATCTGGCCTACCTGCTGTCCCCTAATGTTCACTGGGCCTTCCCATCTCCATGACAATCTCTTGACCCCTTACTCTTCCTTGAAATGAGGCCCAATTGAAATACCTGTTCTTTGCCTACAACGCTGCTTGAATCTACAAATATTTACAGAATGTTTTCTATGTGTAGAATGTGCTAGAAGCAGTGGAAGATAAAAAGATGATGAGGCCCTTAAGGAGCTTATAAAAGCAGGAAATAGACAAGCTCACAAATGATACTATCCCAGAAGGACATAGTCTAATCAAGATCTTTCAACTGTTTTCTTCCTGCCATACTTTAAAAAAGAAAACAAGTTATACTTCTCATCTCTTGCGTAAATTTTGCCCTTTATACAACTCTACTATTTATTCTAAAGTAGTCCATTCAGGATACCAATCAAAAGTAGGCTAACATTAATAAAGTTGGAAAATGCCTGTGCTTTTTGCTTAGCCTCTTAGGAAGGACACAGACAAGTACCTAAGAAATATAGTAAATTATAGTTCACAGATTTCTTCCATTAAAAGCTGAGAAAGGTTGCCTGGTTCTTTTTCTTTCCCTAAAATATACTTAGGGTACCAACCATAACGTTAGCTTCCTTATAAAAAAACAACCTCAGCCCTCACCACTGCTCTCTAAAAACCATATTCTTTCTTTATTAAGCATACAGCTTCTCAGCCTCAGAAAAGCTCCAATATAATACTTATCACACATTTTACAAGATAAGGCTGATTTGCTCTCCCACATATCCTCTAGAGCTTAAGAATGTAATGTTACCACCAAATTTTAAATAGGAAAGAAATTTTAAAATCATTCTAATTCAGGCCATATTTAGAAAAAAAATTGTGTTCATGGACCAATGATGTTAAACTACTACAAACTAAGGGGTATGATCCACTCAACTTTCTACACCCAAGCTCCTCTCCACCTGAAATTAACAAAAAAAACCCAAGCCAAAACAACAACAAAACCCCCCAAAACCCGTGCCTAGAACGCCAAATTCTTTCAAGTTTATATTTCCCCAGAACTTGGTGCCATGACTCATCATACACTTGATCAAATTAATGCCACTCAAGAACATTTTAGAAACTGTTGTCACATTCAGAAAAGAGAGACTATTACATATTTGTCTTCTCTAGCCATAAACTGACTTATATCAAGTATTCATGAAAAACTCTAATGAAAAGTGGAAATCAGAAAACAAAAGAGAAAGAAAACAGTTTTAAATCTAGAGAGAGAGATGTGAAAAAGAGAAAGTGAAAAATGCGGCTGCACACAGGTGAACCGTGACTGCTCTCTTTTCCTGGCATATATACAAGCACCTGCAGGATGTGATGATTTTAAAGGCTTCACACTGTGGTGTTCATAACTCCGAAATAAAACACTGCATAAAAAAAAAACCTAACACTTTGTTTTCCAAAAATAATTTAGGATGCTGAAGATAAAAAGCAAAATTTATCTCCAAATGTGTATGAACATCGGGTTGGCTAGCAAAACAAAGTCAGACTAGGTCATTACAGAAGTGGGATGAAAACTTCCCAGAATCAAGTATTTCCTCAAATGATGAACTTGTCAGGTTGCAAATGTTCATCTCTTTTAATGTTCTCGATATGAGAGCCACTGGCGATTAGTAGCTGGAACTGACAGCAAATTTGTTTAAGGGCTAAGTAAAAGTCTGGAAGCTTTGTTTTGATAACTGCCTACGTACTGTTTAACAGTGAATTGTTTTTTAGTAAGAAGACAGGTGTTAAAACTACCTCTACAAGAGCTCTATATACTAATTCAAAGGTCTTCAGATTTTCCTGCTGTTTCTGGTGTGTTAAGGAAAAAATAAAAAGGACACAACACTGAAAAAATGAGTACACAAACACACACACACACCTTGGAAACACTTGTGCAGCTCTGTGAACAGATTTTTCAGAGCCCCTGGTCAAGCCCTGGGAAAAGGAAGTCTCTGGTCGCTTCAGATACAGCCGGGCTAGAAGCGAGGCGTCGGGGTTCCTCCTTTATCCACCCAGCAGGGTGGCAGCCGCACTGATGGGACACTCACCTCCTCCCCCTCTCCTCCCCGCTCAGCACCAGCAGCCAGTGCCCCCGAGCCTGCAGGACAAGAGTCGGGCGCCCGGGCTCCAGCCACCCCTTCGGCCTAGGTTCCCGGAGGGCGACCCCTCCTCCCGCAGCCCAGTTCCGAGGGAAAAGGGGTCGGCGTGGGCGAAAACCGCCATAACCACCGACCACGCGTCGCCGGTGCCGGGTCTGCTCTGCGTCTGCGAGGCACGCCCAGCCCAGGTCTTCACACTCACCTGCCGCCCCCGGCAGCCCCCGCGCCAGCTCCCGCGGCCCCGCCGCCGCCAGCTCCCGTTCCCGGCCGCAGCGCCATCTTGCTCCGGGCCCGCCGCCGCCGCCGCCACCTTCCCAGCAGCTGTCAGCTCCCGACAGCTACTTCCGGGGCAAAAGCAGGACCCCACCTCGCCGCGGCCTGGGCGACGGGGCGGGGCCGCGCGCCCACGTGACCCTTCGCGTCCGGGGGAGGAGTTGCGCTTCCTCGTCACGTGACCCGGCCACAGCTGAGGGCCCGCCAGGTGCAATTCTAGCTCAGGGGCTGGTGGGATGGTCTGGTGCCGGCTCCAGGTTCATTGTCAGGCAAGGCTCTGTGGAGAACCCAGCTGGCCGCCGAGCGGCAAGGCGTCATCGTTCCTCCGTTTGAAAAACCATCGTCTTGCTTACTGGAAACAGTACACTGAGTCCTGTTTTTTTACCTGGATGGGGGGTACACGGGTGTTCTTTTATTGTTACTCTTTACACAAAGAATAGATGGATCTTGAATGCCCCTTTGATTGCATCACAGCGCCGATTAGTGATGAGCTCTACTTTTTCCCAGGAACTCGGCAGCTTCCTTTTGGTACCCACTCTAAAAGCCGAAGGTGTTTAGCCACCTGGTAATCCCCGTTTTCCCTATACTTACAATCAGGGCCAAAACGGTGGTGCTTGGAAAGGTTCATTGCTCCGACCCTACCTGGGCATATTTTTACTGTGATTTTTTTTTTTTCCTAATCAAACTACTGTAGGTAAATATTAAAGTTGAATGTAAACTTTTTCAAGCCCTCAAGTGGAGTTTGCTTACTAGCAAGTAACGGATTATAATTAGCTTTATCATTTACTCTTGCCTCAGGGCTTTTACTGGGAAACAACTTGTAATAATAGTTATCGTCTATTGGGCACAATCACTGGTCAGGAACTTTACTGTATTTTTTCAAATCCTCAGTGTCCCTAAGAGCTAGTATTGGCATTTCACAGATAAGAAAATCAAGGTTAGGAGGAGTAGTAATTTACCCACATCAAACAGCTGCAAAACAGCAGGACCAGGATCAAAATCCAAGGAGTTTGACTTCAAAGTCCTTGCTCATTTCAGCTAGAGCCAGCTAGTTAATTATGCTTTTTTCCCCCATAATTGTCCACTAACTTCATTCCTCCCCTTCTTTAGATGGAACTGTGTAGCAGATGTTCCAATCGACATAAACTGATACATAACTAAATTCAGTATTAATCCATCGACAATCAAGATGATACAGGCTTATGTAGCCACTTTTAAGGATGGGTGATCACACAGGAGAAAATACTAAAAAAAAAAAAAAAGAGGAAATAAAGTCAAATGAAGGGAGTATTTCAAAGATCATAGACCACATGACTCAGGATGTCAGCGTTCCACGATATTTCCAGTCCAGGTTAGATGCTGTCCTGTGATGACTCAGCATTGTGGCCTTATGTCTAACACGGCATCTACCACACTATTTGTTCCTTTACTTTATGCCCACTACACTGTAAGGGCAGGGACTGTGTTACCAAGACTTGTATTCCTAACCAAATATATAATGTTTGTTAAGGAATATATTTTGTGAAGTTATGACGTGTCAGGCACAGTGTTAGGTATTTATAATCTTGAGACATAGTCGGTATTACCCTCAATTTCACAAACAAACTGAACCTCTGAGAAATTAAGAACTTAAAACAACTGGCAAATGGGTGGCACCAGTACACCTACTTCCAGAATATATTTTGAGTCAAGGCTCTGTTTGCAAGAACAAAAAAAATCACAGGCTTCTAAGTATTTCTTGCACCTTGTAGCAATAGGTCTCCATTTACATAAATTCTGAAGATGAACAATTTTTGTCTCATCTAAAATATTTAAGTTGCAGTCTACCCATCCTGACTCTAGAATAAAAGACTGAGAATACAGGAAATAAATAAGTTTAATTCAAATGTTACTGAGAAAAGGTTATCTATATTATGGTATTACAGTACTGATAACTAACATTCATGTCAGGCACCATTGCAGGTACCTTACATGTATGAAGTCGATTTTTCATTCCACTGTACAAAACTAGCAACTGAGGAAAACCTGCTAAGAGTGAATAGTCTCTATCACTGTACAATCACAGTCCTTTACCTTCGTCAGAGACCTGCATACTATCTGGATGAAGGGCCATAAAGCCTTAGGAAAGATAAGCTGTAAGAGAACGGAGCCAGGGGTGGATCAAGTAACAGGAACATTCTTCCTTATCAGGATAAAATGTTTATCACTTTTCGAGCAAAGTCATCTCAAATGGAAAGAGACAGGAAAGAACATGGTTAAATGACGGAAAATGAAGTAAGAAAGGAGAAGCTGACCATAATCTCATAGCTGCAACATTATGAAGGTAAGGTCTGAGCTACGATAGGGATGAGGTAAAAGATATTTATATATAGATCAAAGAATTTAAAATTCTAGTGAACTTGAATAACCAGCCATATAAAAGGCATCTTGTTGTGGCTCATATCACAAAAGGCCATCAACATATTAAGAAACAGTGAAATAAAGAGAGCAGTAGATTTATTCTTGGTAGACAGCCGGTGCTGCTTCTTGTTCACCCAAAAAAAAAAAAAAAGTGGGTGGGAAGGGGCATTAAACCTCAAGACTTTACTTCGCAATGTGGTTCCAAATGCCTCTCCACAGCATACATGACACGCTCTTTCACACTTGAAGGGAAAAATCCAGTTCACCACATTTGGGTGTTGTTATTTTTAGCATAAACTTTTGTTCTTCTGTAAGAAGCATCGCTCTGGATTCAAACCACGTGAATGTCAATGAATGTTTTTTCCATTATATAATCATTTAAAAAATCACCTATGAATTGAAACGACATGATGCACTGATAGTTTAGGATCATTTTCACTAGTCCCATGTTCTTGTAGTTGATTTCAAATGTTTGGTACAGGTGATTATAAGACAATGTATTCCATGAAAACAACATTCATGCTGGAATCATAAAATCACATTTGTGATATAGTCTTTTTAGAAGTCTGTTTTTAACTTTTGTCCTCAGGAGTTACTTTCTTCTTGCTGTTCTGACCAGTGACCTTCTTCCTGTGACAATGAAAGGAAAGTTGAATTAGAAATTTTAGATATATGTACTTTCCAAAACTCTACCAGTTTAATAAACATTTACTGAAACCTCCTGTATAATCAAGTATACGAGGCACTAGGAACACAAAGATGTGTCTTTGCCCTTTAGAAAACCACATCCAGGTAAGTGAGACAGAAACACCACAGTAAACTACACTACAACATGGTATAAAAGACAGATTCTGATCCTGAATTAATAAGAAGAGTTCACATTGATTAAATGCCAGATACTGTTTATAAGTCGTTTATATGTATCAACTCAGACAGTCTTCCTAACTTACGAAGAAGATTCTATTATTATCCCAGTTTACAGATGTGGAAAATGAGGTAGAGTGGTTAAGTAACTTGCTGATCATCACACACTGGTAATAAATATTAGACATGACACTGGTAAAAATTTTAGACATGACAGTCTGATTTTAGAGTTTGGTGAATGGTGAATGCCATCAACTAACTGTTAACACAGGAAAAGGAAAAAAAGTTTTGAGAAAGTAATCAATATTCACATACTACAGTATAGTAATGCAAAGTTCTTAGATGTATATCAGTTCATTTAATCCTCCACCAACTCTGAGTGGCAGAGTTAGTATTATTTATATAACTATTTCCATTATATATAGGGGGAAAGAGGCTTAGAGAGGTGAAGTGACTTGTCCAAAGTCACACAGGAAAAGGTGTTATTAGAGCCAGTTATTCTGGCTCCAAATCCAATCTCCCCTACGCCCTACTATACCAGTTTGAGTTTGCAGCGCCTGAAGTGACACCCACTAGGCAACAGGCTTCAGGTTTATAGCTCAGTTGGGAAGCTGGGCTTGAAGATATGGACTTAAGATTTATCAGCATAGAGCTGAGGCCACAGGTGTGGGTAGGATCATTAAAGCAACATCTACTGTGGAAAGGTAAGCTAGATTCTGATCAGATCTTGTCTGTATGCTATGTTAAGAAGTATGGCCTTTAAATGTGAAGAAAATAGAGAGAGAACCAAAGCGTCTTAAGCAGGGGGCTAGTGACAAGGTTTATACCAGGTGTCCTCAAAGTCTTAGCACAGCTTTAAGTTTTAATAACCTCAGATCATTAAAAGCTGCAAACTTACAAAAATCAGCAATTGAAGTGTCATTACTTAAAATATTGACTTTATTTTTACAGTTCAACACAGCCATGATCTTATGCTCTAGTCAATTTTCGACCTTCGTAAAAACTTTTATCAGCTGTGGCTCAGTGCCCAAAAGGACTGCATTTCCAATCCTAGCTCTGAGATCACCCAAAGAATGAGGTTCTGATGTGTGCGCAACAATTCTGCAGCAGCCCACCACACGAAAAAGTCTAATGAGACAGATAAGGTGACCAAGCAGGGCAACCTTCTCTACCAATCCACTGGTCTGTCACCCAGGAACTGTTGCCACAAAGAATAAAAATAAAAATGTATTAAGAACGCACAAAACTGAATAAGTACCAGTTAAATTAAAATAATCTTTCAAATGATGTAGTTTTATAAGGTTGTAACATTTATTTTTCCCAAGTTATTAAAGCTTAAAACCACCAAACCCTTTGGGACACTCTGTACAGTCTATGTACTGGGGCTGAACATTATTTCCCACAACCAATACAAAATGTCAGGCAGACTCTTTCACTCAGAAGGAAAGTGCAGGTTTTCTCGCCTGGGTTCACCTTGTTCCTTCTACATGCCTAAATTTTACCCATCCTTGAACATAATTCTACTTCCTTGAAACTTTCTGTAACTACACCAATCCATAATGATTTTTTCCCTTCTCTAAACTTGTTTTATTTTAAAATTATTATCTAACTTTTTTCATGTATATTAATCTCCTTTCCCTAACTTCAGGAAAGGGGTCGTCTCATTTTACATCCATTCATACACCTTACTACGTATTATATATGTAGTAAGACTGAAGGTGAACAGCAGAACTTGGTAAATGCCTACATTTTATATATGTTATATATTAATTGGTACTGATAGAATTTGAAGAGTGTCATTTTTCCTTAAATAGTGGAAAGAATAGTACTGTGCAGAATATTTTAGCCCACCCCTATGAAATCATGTAGTTTCCTGGCAGTAATAGGCAAAACAGGTAGTCCTTTTTTGTGTATGTCCTTTTTTGTGTGTATGCTAAAAAAAAAACAACAAAAACCTATACTTTAAAATCCTCAAAAACTCAGCTAAATGACTACAAATTTACTCAAGTCATACTGTTCAGAGGTGTTACAGTGTGCTTCAGCATAAGCCCAAGATCCTACTGAAATCCTGCCCAGAATATGGGGCTTGAAGGAAGACTCCATCAATGTGAGTCAGCAGTCCTAACTACTGGCCTCAGTAGTGGGCCCAGATACAGGCTGTGTGGAGATGGTGGACAGTGCAATTCTAATTCATAGTGAATTGAAATCATATTTTCAAAGATGGAGAAATACAGATCATTAATATACAGATAAAGAAAAATTCCAAGATTGAATTATCCAAGTTTCCAAATCACAGGCAACCTAAGATATATTACTTTTATTACATTCTATAATGGACTGTAGACCTATCAAATTCTACTTCTAAAAATCTATCCTAAGGAAAAATAATGCTTACGTTATAAGAATATGCCAGAATCAAACAGTAACTTTTACCATATACTTACCGTTTATCCTTAGCTTTTTCTAAGAAATATTTTGGAGTTGTACTAATGCTCTCTCTTTCCAAAGGCTTCTTAATCATCTTTTTCTTTTGTTTACTGAAAGTTACAAAGAAAGAACTGAATTAAGTGCAACTTAATTTAAAAGAGCTAAAACTAGTTTTGGTTCTTTGGTTCACAAAATTCGTTTCCTTCATCCACTTACAGGTTTACAGGGACACCACTGTATCCACTTTAATATACTAGGCTACCTAACAGCATCTAGAGAGGTAACCCAAAGGGATGATAAATTCAACCAATTTTTTAAAAGGCACTGATTATGATTAAAATATGTCGTGTGTCACTCTGATATCTTGTGTTAACAAACACCAGAGTTTGATTTTGGCCAATTAACTGCTTTTTATCAGTTTTATGAATTAGAACAAAATCTCAGCGTATTTCACTCATGTTGAATAATACTTTAAAAATCTGAATACTTAAAATTTCAAGGATGAAAAACTGGCAGGGAAAGAACAGACAGTATTCACAAATATTTAAAAGGAAAATTTTTAATCTTAAAATGTTCTAAAAATAGTAGTATTATTAGAACTATAATGTATAAGAGTGTGAAATCAAGAATATATATGTAAAGAGAGAGAGAGAGAAGCTCCAGGTAAATTCAAGATTGTACCTTAGTAGTTTTTGGAAACCTTTTATGTATTCTGGGACAGGACATCCGGCCTGCTGGATAACATTGGCAACACTGAAAAAGGTACCCATAAACGTAAATTTGTATCTTGTCAAACTGATGTTTATGTACATAAACCCTCTGCACAATACAAGAGGAACTAAAACTACACAAACAAAAAAGTAATCCAGTAAAGTGTTCTGATAAATTATTACCAATTATTACCAGATGCAGTCATATTGGATTACTGAGAGAACAGTCTGCTGGACTGAAATCAATGTCTTGATGAACATTTTAGATAGCAGCTGTTTCTACTCAATATTTAACAAGCCCTAAAAAGCTACTAAGCCCAGTATTGGATGAGACACTGACTGAAGTCAGAGTCATACTTAAATTTATTAAATGATAAAGCTTGACATGGTCTCAAGCTTCTCATGTATACAGTAAGCCCCCTACACATGAACCTTCAAGTTTTGAACTTTCAAAGATGTAAACATGCGTTCGCATGCCCAATCAGGTAAATTAGTTCACATGTCTGGCGTACATTGTCATAGGCATACATCCTCTACAAGTGGCTGTGCTTTTGTGTACTTTACTGTACAGTACTGTATAGAGTACAGTAGCACAGTATCTTTGTTTCAAGCCCAGGGTGTCCGGAAGCAAGCATAAAAGCAGCGGTGACGGAGCTGGTACTGCTAAGAGGCACCAGCAGTTGTACTGCACTACTGTACTTTTCAAGGTACTGTACTGTAAGATTAAAAATGTTTTATTTGGGGGTTTGTTTATTATGTATTATTTGTGTGAAAACTATTATAAACCTATTACAGTACATACTATATAGCCGGTTGTGTTAGCTGGGTACCTAGGCTAACTTTGTTGGACTTATGAACAAAATGGACTTAACGAACACACTCTCGGAACGCAACTTGTTTGTATGTAGGGGACTTACTGTAGTAACTTATTCAATCCTTACAACCCTTTGTAGTAAATACTATCATTATCCCCATTTCTCAGATGGAAAACTGAGGTACACAGTTGCACTGATATGGGGGTCATCAGATGCACATGCTTGGAGTTGCTGAGAACTCAGGTGAATCTAGGCTGTTGGAATGTACTCCCCTACACACGTGAAAGTCTGATCACAGCAAAATCAAGGCTGACAGAGCCAAGGCTCAGAAGGCACGAAGCAAAATCTTCGCCAAAAGTGATAAACAGAATAAAGTACAAACTGCCTACATCCACAACTCAACTTCATTTGTTAGAAATATGAACTGTTGCCCATTATCATCAGCCTAAAGTTTCTGTAGGCAGCCCAAATGCAGGAAACTCGGCTTCTATACTAAAATCTATGACGATGGGCTAAATTAAGATAAGATTCTAAAAGTGTATCTATCATAGGTTACCCAGGCTTCAAGGGGCTACAACTGAATATTAGAGTGTGTTACTATAACAGTTTTTCCTCTGTGACAGGTGATCCTGGGACTAAACATAAAACTCCAGCTGCCCCTAAGAGTAATGGGAAGAATACACCCATGCTAACAGATCATTTTGACGGGGCTATAAGAGACTCAGGGGTTAACTTTAAGCTATTAATTAATCCAAAAGCTTAATATTACATTTTGAGTAATATCAAGTGAAGGCTATTGGGAGAATTCTGTGAGTCTGAAACTTTTTTTTTTTTTAATTAATTTTTGCCTGCATTGGGTCTTTGTTACTGTGCGCAGGCTCTTTTTAGTTGCAACGAGTGCGGGCTACTCTTCGTTGTGCACAGGCCTCTCATTAAGGTGGCTTCTCTTGTGGAGTACAAGCTCTAGGTGCACAGGCTTCAGTAGTTCTGGCATATGGGCTCAGTAGTTGTGGCTCGCAGGCTCTAGAACGCAGGCTCAGTAGTTGTGGCCCACGGGCTTAGTTGCTCCGTGGCATCTTCCTGGACCAGGGCTCGACCCCGTGTCCCCGGCATCGGTAGGCGGATTCTTAACCACTGTGCCACCAAGAAAGCCCGTGGGTCTGAAACTTAATGAATATTCCATTGTGAATATTTCCAAAATCTAACAATGGAAGGGCAAAAACGAGGCCCTTTGATCATTTTTCTTTTTTTCATGGCTAAGGTTTGTTTGACTAATACCATAACAGAATTTGGGACACAGCCATTTTGTAATTATCCGTTAACTGTGTATGAGAATAATGAATCAATTTTGCCAACTTAATGCTAAATTTTTTCTCCTAATTTACCTTCTTAATAATGGTTTATCATCTTCAGTGAAAAATGTAACAGCTTTTCCTTTATGCCCGGCTCTTCCAGTTCGACCTAAGAGAAACCAGACCATTAAAAAAAAACCTACTTTTGGGTGGAATGGGACCTTCAAGAATCACATATACAAGTCACTGGATTTTCACAGCACTAAAAACTTGAGCATGCTGAAGGGACTGGTAGTGGTGCTAAGAGAGGTGAGTAGAGGGGTGGGGCACACGACTCACCTATCCTGTGGATATATTCCACTGAGCTGGTTGGAAAGTCATAGTTGATGACCAAGTTCACACCTTTAAAATCGATCCCTCTGGCTAGCAAGGCTGTACAAATAAGAACCCAGATTTTTCCTGCTCTGAAGCTATGGACTGTGTTATCTCTCTGGTTAACAGAACATATATTAAATGTTTTAGTACCACTCTAGGAATGGAAAACAAGTACTTCATAAATTTAATGCCAATTAAAAAAAAATTAGTTGTTCTTTATTGCTTTGAAAGTATGCATTTGACTTTACCTGTTGCTGAGTTCTGTCTGCATGAATAACATCCACATTAATACCTTCATATATGAGCTCATGAAAAAGTTCTTTAGCCCTTTCAATGGACTGAACAAAAACAAGAACAGGTGGATTGAAACCCTAAAAGAAAGCATACATAATCCATAATCAAGAATATAACTGCAGTATTTCATATGATTTTAGTTCATTTTAATTTAGAAATTGACAAATTTCTTAGACCAGAGGTCCAAGTCTGCCTCTGTCTTCCTCACCATCCATTCTCTACAATGTGGTTCTTTCTCTTGTTGTGGAGTACAGGCTCTCCATCTAATTCCAATAATCTTGTCTAATTAATTCCCCTTCATCTTTCTACAGCAATGTATGCCCACACTTTGAAATAATCATCTGATTGCTTCTGTGCTTCAGAACATTTTTGTTTCTTCTTAAAATGTAATAGCTGTCATTTAAAAAAAAATAAATTTATTTATTTCAGGCTGCGTTGGGTCTTCGTTGTTGCGTGTGGGTTTTCTCTAGTTGCGGTGAGCGGGGGCTACTCTTCATTGTGGTGTGTGGTCTTCTCATTGTGGTGGCTTCTCCTGTCGCAGAGCACGGGCTACAGGTGCATGGGCTTCAGCAGTTGTGGCTCGCGGGCTCTAGAACGCAGGCTCAGTAGTTGTGGTGCACGGGCTTAGTTGCTCCACGGCATGTGGGATCTTCCTGGACCAGGGCTCGAACCCGTGTCCCCTGCACTAGCAGGCGGATTCTCAACCACTGTACCACCAGGGAAGCCCCAATAACTGTCATTTTAATCTGTTATTTATCCTAACCGTGGGTATTCCCCAAAGCTTAGTCCTTGGTTCTCAGTTCTCTCAATATAATATTTATCTTATCAAGTTCCATAAAATCTCAGTTATCAACCAGCAGCCCTAAGCAAATGATTTTTATTTTTTACATTAATATCATCAAACCCCACCTCTCTCAAACCAGCTTTCTATATTTTTGACTGTCAGCATTAGGGCTTAACCTTATTATTTTGGTCCACGCACCCTTTCAGAATCTAATGAAAGAAAGCTATGAAGCTTCTAACAGGCAACCACACATTCACACAAAATGTTACATATAATTTCAGAAGGTTCAAAGAACTCCTGAAGTTTATACATGGCTAAAAATCTCTGGTGTATAATTCAATTTGAGTATCTGTGAAAACCTTAAATTTCCTACTGCCAAATGATATCCGTAAGAACATTAGTAAAACATGCACATAATAGCATTTATTATGTGCCAAGCACTATTGTAAATACTATATTTCTATTAACTCATTAATAAAACAAAAAACCCCACTCTGGTGTCCTATTCATTAATGCCCCAGTTCTCTAAGAAGCCAGGAGAGTGATGGGGGAGGTGCAGGGGCAGATAGAAACAGGCATACTTTGTTTAATTGCACTTTGCAGCAGATACTGTGTTTTTTACGAATTGAAGGTTTGTGGCGACTCAATGTTCAAGCAAGTCTATCAGCACCATATTTTTCCAACAGCATTTGCTCACTTCACGTCTCTGTATCACATTTTGGTAATTCTCGCAGTATTTCAAACTTCTTCATTATTATTATATTTGCTGTTGTGATCTATGATCAGTGAGTGATCTTTAATGTTACTGCTATGACTCAGTGAAGGCTCAGGTGATGGTTAGCATTTTCAGCAATAAAGTATTTTTAAGTTAAGGTATGTACATTGTTTTTTAGACATAATGCTATTGCACACTTAACAGACTACAATATAGTGTAAACATAACTTTTCTATACACTGGGAAACCAGAAAATTCCTGTAACTCACTTTATTGTGACATTGGCTTTACTGTGGTGGTCTGAACAGAACCCGCAGTGTGCTGGTGTGGAAAAAGGAGGCATTCAGGGCAGCAGGTAGGTCTTTCCCTGGCCTACCCCGAGCTGGGAACAGAAATCTTAATATATTCTGAGAGGAGAGCGTCTCCCCTTCGAGACAAGAGTTGCTCCAATGTGCTTCTTACCGATTTACCACTGGATTACTAAATATGACGCAGGAATAGCACTCAACCTCCCTTTTTTTTTTTTTTTAAGTTTCTAAAACCTTTTATTTCATCTTAAATATGGAAACAGCCAGGGCACGGAGGGGGACCCACCCAGGAATCCTGCGGCAGGACCCCCTCAATAGCACACAGCTCAGGGACCCAGGCCACAGCACTGATCACCCTACCTGGGGACAGGGAGGAGAGCTGGGGGCCCTGCAGCCAGTTCTGGATGGGAGTTAGGGTGTGGGCAGGGAGAAGCTGGGACAGAGAGACCCCCAAAACTGCCAGCAGGAGGCGGGAGACCCAGCAGAGCCCCAATCAAGGGTCTGCCAGGAAGTTAAGCGCTCATAATAAATCCGTCTTCCAAGGCTAGTAACACAAGTAATTGCTAGTAATATTACACCTAGCAATACAAGGCTTGGTGAACATTAACAAAACTCAAGAATGTAGTCCAAATATACCTTTTTAACAAGTTCTCTCATGGCCAGAAGTTTTCCAGTCTCAGACCCAACGAAGAGAAGCTCTTGTTCTACGGTCTCTACTGCAGAATTCCTAAGAAGAAAACATCCCTTGTAGTTTGCAAGAGCCAATTTTTGTTTCCCCCCTTGAATTCTAAATAAATGAAAAAATTTACACACAACTCCAACAGAATGACCTTTTCCACCGTCAATATAAGTACTGAATTATTTATATTTTAACTTAAAGACAAAGTTATTTTTAAATGTTTTATTCGTTCTTTTAAAAAATTTTTTAATCCAAGTATAGTTGATTTACAATGTTATATTAGTTTCAGGTGTACGGCAAAGTGATTCAGTTATGTGTGTATATATGTGTGTGTGTGTGTATATATATATTATTTTTCCGATTCTTTTCCATTATAGTTTATTACAAGATACTGAATATAGTTCCATGTGCTATACAGTAGGACCTTGTTGTTTATCTATTTTATATACAGTAGTTTGTATCTGCTAATCCCAAACTCCTAATTTATCCCCACCTCTGCCTTTCCCCTTTGGTAATTGTAACTTTGTTTTCTATGTCTGTAAGCGTGTTTCTGCATTGTAAATAAGTTCATTTGTATCATTTTTTAGATTCCACATATAAGTGATACCATATGATATTTGTCTTTCTCTGTCTGACTTACTTCACTTAGTATGATAATCTCTGGGCCCATCCATGTTGCTGTATGGCATTATTTCATTCTTTTTTATGACTGAATAATATTCCTGTGTGTGTGTGTGTTTAAGTGTGTGTGTGTGTGTGTACACCACATCTTCTTTACCCGTCAACTCTCAATGGACATTTAGGTTGCTTCCATGTCTTGGCTATTGTAAATAGTGCTGCTGTGAACACCGGGGTGCATGTATCTTTTCGAATTATAGTTTTCTCAGGATGTATGCCCAGGAGTTGAGATTGCTGGATCATATGGTAACTCTATTTTTAGTTTTTTAAGGAACCTCCATACTATTTTCCATAGTGGCTGCACCAATTTACATTCCCCCCAACAATGTAAGAGGGTTCCCTTTCTCCACACCCTCTCCAGCATTTATTCTTTTTTCTTTTTTTAATTTTTATTGGAGTATAGTTGATTTACAATGTTGTGTTAGTTTCTCTAGCATTTATTCTTTGTAGACTTTTTGATGATGGCCATTCTGACTGGTGTGAGGTGATACCTCATTGTACTTTTGATTTGCATTTCTCTAATAATTAGTGACGTTGAGCATCTTTTCATGTGCCTACTGGCCATCTGGATGTCTTTGGAGAAATGTCTATTTAGGTCTTTGAATGTTTTGTTATGATTATAAAAATGTTATCTCAAGAAAATTTAAAAAAATAAAGACATAAACAATAAAATTAATTACCCACAATTCTACCATTTTAGAATAAACTTTGACATTTTGCTGTGTTCTAGTCATAAATTTTCATGTGTCTAGTTACTTACAGAATCCTTCTAAAAGTAAAATTATTGGGTAAAATGAGAACATTTTAAAGGGGGTTGTTACATATGCCTAAATTTTTTTCTTAATGATTAGCAAAGGTTTATTTATTGACAAACAGTTGGGGTGAGGTATCTTTAGGCTTTACTAACACTCTATACCATGTATAAATACTTTTTCCATTCTGTTATCTGCCTTTATAATTATGTTTATGGTTAATCTGTTCTATTTTTCTTTTTATACACAGGAGTTTTATGTTGAAAGTAGACAGGATATTCTTTACTGTTTCATTTGGCTTCTGTTTTACTTAACATGGTACTACAGGCACCTTTTCATATAGCTACAATCTTCACTCTGACCATTTCATGCGTTGCATTATAGTATATCAAGTGGCAATATCATAATTTCATAAGACTTTTCTCTATCATTTAGCATAAATGCTCCCCCAAATATTTTTAAAAAGCAATTATAAATCAAGTGGCTCAGTAACATCAGCTTCCTTCTCTGTGGCCCTACTTTGTTAAGCCATCAACGAGATTAAATCCTTTGGGTGGCCACAGAGCTCATGTCATACTTTGTGGATTGGAAGAACCAACTAAACACATGAGGATAGGAATATTAATATGGCAATATGATAATCTCCCTTTGGATTATTCTAAAATAGAAAATGCTTAATCAATCTTGACTTTAAAGAATATATTTCTTTCAGTCAAACTCTTTTTATCAATCTTAGGCCACACAAGCTATCTCTTTTAGTCTAAAATAATGACTTGTGTTTTTTTAAAAAATGAGTGGGATAGTGTGGAAGAACAATTACCTTGCTCCAATGGAAACAGTAATGACATTATCCAAGTTGAGTCTGCACCACTGCTCAACATCATAGGCAAAAGTTGCACTGAACATAGCTCTTTTGACCTTGTGGGATGTGCAGGCCAAGAAAATGGAAGCCAGCTGGTCTCTGAACCCAGTTTTGCCATCTTCAAACAGTTTATCTGATTCATCTACTACCAGCCATTCAACACTAAGAAATAACAAAAAAAACTTGTGGGTATTGAACTGAAAGATCCAAGATGCTTCACTACCTGTGGGAACACATGAAGAAGTCCAACCACAATGATGCTTCTCAGATCTACAAATCATACCAGAAGAAGGTATAAGAAAAATAAGCAAGAAAAAGGTAAAAACAAGATAAATATAAATTAATGTACCTATTCCATTAGCTCCAAAGATAATGAGGTTCCATTGGCAATGACAGAAGCTCAGATAAACCTTATGAACGCCATCACCATTGCTGAAAGATGTGAAAATTTCTAGGGGAATTCTGTACTAACTGCTTATCGGAATCTGTTAACTTTCTTCCAGACCAGGATAGTTACTTTTCTATGAGTTTAATGAAAACCATTTTTCTCAGCATCAACATAGCAAGCTCCAAAGAGCAATAATACAAGTAATTGAGGACAAAATATAATCAATTTAATGAAAAACACACATAAAAGACATTATTAAAGTAATGTACCTTGTTAAGTCTATTCCCGGAGGATCTTGCTTTAATAAATAGATTAGTCGATTTGGAGTAGTCACAAGAATATCTGTAAGGAAAAATAAATGGTACAAATTGCAAAAACAACATTCATCCCTCTTGAATTAGGGGATTAAGTCTCCTGAATTTCCGTTAATAACCTCAGGTGGGGAGAAGCGGTTATATGCACTACACCAACAACACAATAAGCTAATATACATATTTTTTTAATCCATCATAGCACAAACTACTATATCCTTACTCTCCTTTTATCTGATCTGCTTTCCCAGCTTCTAAGAGGCAAGAATACTATAATCCACCAATTTGCTTAACAAACATTTGTTTGTTTTTCAGGAAAATACTTTCCTTAAATGCAACTTTACTCAGAAGCTCAAGATAAAAGACAAGTAAAACAGATTCTCTGGCTGATCTAAGAGTAGGGATGTAAATCAATCTTATCTGCAGAATATTTCCATGGCAGATTAACAATCAATAGAATAAGCAGGGATTCTCAACCTCAGCACTACTTGGCATTTTGGTTCAGACAACTCCTTGTTGTAGGAGGCTGACCTGTGTGTTGTAGGATGTTTAACAGCATCCCTGGCTTCTGTCCCTATACTAGTAGCACCTCTCCCCAGTTGTGATGACTTAAAATGTCTCCAGATATTGCCAAGTATCCCTGGGATAGAGGGTGAGGTGGGGGTGAAGGGCAGAATCACCTCTGGTTGAGAACCACTGGTATATATTTATATATCTACTGGGTGGGGGTAAGGAGGAGATCTCTTTCAGCTTTTCTAAAAATCAAACTAACTACACTTTAAGAACTTCTAGGTAGCAATTAGGATACTTGTAATTTCTAAATCCCTTACATCTCAAGCACGAACCCCCTTACCAAACTTCTTAGATGATTTAGGTCCAAATTTCTTGGCTGCAACTGCTGCTTTGTGGATCATGTGTATCCTGAATCCTGTTCCCTCAGATATTTTTACTAACTCTCGGTGAATCTAAAACAGAAAATGATAAAAACATTAGCTGCTAAAATACTTGGATAAGATGTATAGTCTCTTTCATTATTAACAAAGTAAATCTAGTATCAACTCATGAATACCTGAAATTAAGCCCATAATAATCTGTAGATTAACCTGGAATCTCAGCATTTTGGAACGTCAATACTAAGTAAGATTCAGTAGTTTCTTCCGGTCTAGTAAACTAGTTCCAAGAGATAAAACCAAAACTCTTCCATTCTGTTACATATTGTTTGTAGAATACAGTACTGTTACAAAACTATTTCATACTTGGCATGTATTTTATATTAAGCACATTGGGAGGGTAGAGTGGATCATTGTATAGTTTTACTTTCTCAAAAACTGAGATGAGGTTTCATTTTTCTAGGTGAGGAAAAAAAGTTTTAGAGGGGAACTATATATGATAGTAGCCTTCCAACTTCAAGGATCTTAGAGCATATACCAAAGTATAAATGTTAAGAACAACATATTTTATAAAACTGAAAAGACTTAAAAGACTGGCCCACATGCAGTAAGACACAGAGAAGTGTGCTTTGAACAGAATATGTGACAATGAGAAAGACACGGGCCTTACTCTTTTGGACCTTTCTATTACCCTCAAGTAAGAAAGATGACTGACAAACACAAACCCAACCTCTTCAGAAAGTACCAGTCATACCTGGCTGGCAAGTTCTCGTGTTGGTGATATAATCAGGGCTCTGAAGCCTTTGTTTGTGGGTTGTTTCAGGTGCATTAAAATAGGAATGCTAAAAGCCAAAGTCTTTCCAGATCCAGTAGGAGCAGAAGCCAGAAGTTCTCGACCCTAAAAACAGAGTATATTAAGTACAAGGAAGAGTACATACATTTTTCAGAGCCCAGTCAAATAATGCTACCAGCCATAAAAATAACAAAATTATACATAATAAATCCAAACACTCACATTCCCATCACTCTTCTAACTTCTCCCATATTTGCTTTTCTACCCACCCCTGCTACAACCGCCCCAATAGAGTTTCTGAGCATTATTACTAAAGTTCATTTGAACTGGGTAAAGAAAGTAGATAACTAAAACCCAAAGATGATTCACAACCTCATTTCCATTATTTCAGTTTTTCTTTCCCCTAAACCTCTTTATCAAAGCAAAATTACAAAACCAACTTTTTGACCTGATATCTGCATTGCTCCATCCTTAAGGAAAGTTTTAATAAACAACAGAATGGCTAAAAGTAAGAAATAAAAAGTGGTGAGTGCCTCCCTGGTGGCACAGTGGTTGAGAGTCCGCCTGCGGATGCAGGGGACATGGGTTCGTGCCCCGGTCCGGGAAGATCCTACATGCCGTGGAGCGGCTGGGCCTGTGAGCCATGGCCGCTGAGCCTGCGCGTCCGGAGCCTGTGCTCCGCAACGGGAGAGGCCACAACAGTGAGAGGCCCGCGTACCGCAAAAAAAAAAAAAAAAAAAAAAGTGGTGAAAACCTGAGTGACAGAGTCATTTATAGATGACAATCTTCAAAAAGTCACTGTGATTTTTTTTTTTTTTGTCACTGTGATTTTTAAAGCTTTAAGTTAAGGTCACTACAGAAACAACCTTAAATGAAAACTAAAAGCAAATTTACTATAATGTCAGTCAACAACATCATTCAAATATATTCTTATTTCAGTTCCCAAAGAAAATGAAAAGGATTAGTATGGATGAGGAGAGGGAACTCATATCCTTTTGCTACTAGAACTGAAGGCCATCTTGGTTATGTTGGGGAAAAAAGTCAGCTCTCACCACTACAAAAAGAAACCTCAGAAAAACTTAATTTCCAAAAGTCTAAGTTAACTCATACCTCTATCAACAACACATAAACAAATTATGGTATATTCATACAACAGAATACTACTCAGTAACAAACTACTGATATATGCAACATGGAGGAATCTCAAAAACTGTATTAGAGTGAAAGAAACCAAAAAGAGTAAATAATGAATGATTCCACTTACATGATTCTATAAGAGGAAAAACTAAAACATGGCAATAGAAACCAGAAAAGTGCTTACCTCTGGGCAGGGGTCAGGTGAGGACTGAATGGAAGGGGTATGAGAGAACTGTCTGGAGTGACAGAAATGTTACACATCTTCACTGAGTTGATGGTTACATAGGGTACGCACTGTTGAAACTCACTGAACTGTGCACTTAAAATCTATGCATTTTTTTGGTACTTAAATAGACTTCAATAATAAAAAGTACTGGGATAAAAACAAAGTCAGGTTATGTACAAGAATTCTGTATTTCTGAAATAGTTCTTGAATATTACAAACTAAATCATGGATGAAAAAACAGAACATAGTCCCTATCCTCAGAAGATTAACACTCTTAGTTAAATGGAAGAGATGAATATAATTAATGCAAACACATAGTAAAGTGTAAGACAAATGTTGCAAGAAAAAGAAAACACACGGAGAACTGGGTGGTAGGGGAAACAGTGTTGGTAAAGGAAAAAGATCACATCTAGCAGTAGTGATCAAGACAAATCTTACGGAGGCACAGGTATTAGAGACGGACCTTGAAATCAAGGGTAGGATTTCAACAAGGGGAGATAAGGCAGAAAGGAACATTTCAAAGACAGAGGAAAGAGAATGAACACACACACACACATACACATGCACGCATACTCACAGGCCTTCATACTCACATGCAGCATAACTGGAATGGCTTGCATTTGGATTGGCGTAGGTATCTGGAAGCCTGCATCTAGAATGTTCTGAAGCAGTCGAGAATTGATTTTAAATTCCTGGTCAAGTTGCTGAAATGTAGCAATTGGGTCAGGAAGATCAGTTCCTTGGACATGAATTTTATGTTTATTCCGGAAGAAGTTTATCTGAAAAGTGAAATAAAGGAGTCGCCATTAATGTGGTCAAATACAGTGTCAGATGTTGTAAAGCAACAGTAACGGTTTCTGGGATAAGCTTTAGTAACATATGAAACTTTCTGGTTAAATTCCAATCCCTACAAGATACAGATATTAGGTATAATTCGTGCCCTTTCATAGAAGGAAGACCTTCATAACAATGAAACCTATCTATCCACACTTTCCTCATGTTAATGTCAATGCCATGAATAATGTGTTATTCATATTAATGTGCTACTGTCACAGTCACAATCTTATATAAACTTCTAGAAGGCAGGCACCGAATCAATCTATTGTCTTTATATGGCACTTAGCAGACAAGTGCCAATGCTTTTTAATGATTACCCTAAACTCTACTTATTAAGACTGAGTGCCAAAAGCAGAATCAAGTGATGTTGATTATTTTTTGTTTTCCCATTCTCTGATCCAGACAGCCAAATTCTAGATTCGGGATTACTAACTGAGCTGAACAATACTCTCCATCTGCAATACAGCAGGAGAGCAGCAAACGCGACAACGGCATATTTGTTGTTTCTTCTGAATTCTACTCCTCCTAGTCCCAAGTCATAAAATAGGTTTCTTAAGAATTCTAACTCTCAAATCCCTGTAGGAGGAAATCCTTCTAAACCAGTGTGAGCTTAACATAAAGGAGAAAGGGGGCCAATTTCATGTTTATCAAAAGGGAATAAGAAATTTAAAAAATTTAATTCTAAACACATCATCAATTTTGACCTAAGTTTCAAAATTTCAAGACACTTTCAAGAATTTTAACCTTTAAAAATTTCAGCCACAGCACAAACACTACTTTGCTTTAAGTTTCCATTAAAGTAAAATCTAATCTAATGTAAGTAATCTTCTAAACAAAACCATACTCGCTTTTACCAACAGAATAACTCAAGGATAGTGAAAAAGTCATTAGGCCAGAAAACCAATTGGATGAAGCCATTTTTCTAACCTTTTCTTTTCTGAGCTGCTCCAACTTTCCTGAAGTTAGTTTATTTTCTCTTTTAACTTTTTTATCTTCAATCTTTGCTTCCACAGATGATATCCACTGTATAGTAGAAACTTCTTGAGAAGTAATTTCTAAAATATATTTTTAAAAAATTAAAAGATTTTAAGTGCAACATTCTTAGGTGGCACAAACAGGCCATACCTTACCTTCACACTAAACAAAAGAAAAAGTACTAGTGGTTGCAACTAGATGAAAGAAAGTAATAGGAGGTATAAAAATTGGGAAAGGAGGGCTTCCCTGGTGGCACAGTGGTTGAGAGTCTGCCTGCCGGTGCAGGGGACACAGGTTCGTGTCCCGGTCCGGGAAGATCCCACATGCCGCGGAGCAACTAAGCCCATGCACCACAACTACTGAGCCTGTGCTCTACAGCCCGTGAGCCACAGCTACTGAGCCTGAGTGCCACAACTACTGAAGCCCGCGCGCCTAGAGCCTGTGCTCTGCAACAAGAGGAGCCACCCAACGGGAAGCCCACGAACTGCAACGAAGAGTAGCCCCTGCTTGCCGCAACTAGAGAAAAGTCCACGTGCAGCAACAAAGACCCAAGGCGGCCAAAAAAAAAAATTAATTAAAAAAAAAAACTGGGAAAGGAGAAGCAAGTTGTGTGTTGGTAAAATCAGAGCTCTGAAGCTCACTCTTTCCTTTTTCTTCTTTTTAGTTATTTCAGCTTTGTAATATGTACCTAAATGTACACTTGAAAACAATGAGGGATTAATTCAAAAGCTATTTAAACAATAAGAGATGTCAATGAGGCAGCCAGCTTTTCTATATCCACAACCAGCTAGAAAATAAATACGATGCAAGAAAAGATTTCACTTATAATAGCAATAAACACAACACAATACTTAAGGACTACTCAATATTATAAAGAGAGCAATTCTCACTAAATCTGTAAATAACACTACCTCAATGAAAAGTAATGAAAGGATTGTTTTGGTAACTGGAGTAGCTGACTTTAAAGTTTATATGGGAAAATAAATATGTACGAATACCTAAAAAATTCTAAGAAGAGTAATGAGCAAAGACTACTTCTGGAATTTCTTTTAAATTTTTTCAACTTCACCGATGTACAACCAACACAATAAACTGCATATATTTAAAGTATACAACTTGAGGCATTTTGACATTATGTATGCACCTGTTAAACCATCACCACATTTAAGACTATTTCCATCACTTCCCAAAATTTCCTTGTGGCCCCTTACAATGCATCAGTCCATCCCTAGGTAACAACCTGTATTCTTTCTTTCTTTCTTTCTTTCTTTTTTTTTTTTGGCTGTGCCGCACAGCATGCGCAATCTTAGTTCCCTGACCAGGGATTGCACCTGTGCTCCCTGCAGTGGAAGAGCAGAGTCTTAACCACTGGACCACCAGGGAAGTCCCCTGTTTTCTGTCACTGTTGATTAATTAGCTTTTTTTTTTCCTGGAATTTTATATAAATGGAATCATGTAGTACTCAATAAATTTAGTCTGGTTTCTTTCACTCAGGATAGTTATTTTGAGATTCATCCATGTTGGAGCATGTATTAATAATTTTAACTTTTTATTTACAAGTAGTATTCCATTGTATGGATATACAATTTGTCTATCCTCCGCTTGCTGAAGGACATTTGGGTCATTTCCAGTTTTTGGCTGTTACATATAAAGCCACTATGAACACCTGTGTACAAGTCTTTGTGAGGACACACGTTTTCCTTTCTCTTGGGTAAATTCTAGGAGTGGAATAGGTGGGTCACATGGTAACTGCATGTTTATTTTTTTAAAAATCCTTTTCAATTTCGACCAGAAAAGCCTACTAGAGTTTTAACTGGGTTTGCACTGACTCTATAGATCACTTTAGGGAGAAAATATCCAGTTGCCCAATCAATAAAAAGAGTATGCCATACCGCTCTACTGGAATTTATAAAGTAAGGCCACATTAATTAACACAAGCTGGTACTGGTGTACGAATACAGAATTAGAAATCAATGAAATAGAATAGAGTCGAAAGACCCAAATATATATGGGAAATAAGTTACAATAAAAGTTGTATTTAAATCCAACAGGGAGAAGATGTAATATCAATATATTAGGACAATTAGCTAGCCATCTGGAAAAAAATTAATTAGTTCCTCATTCATTCCCTATACCAAATAAAATCCCAGAGGGTCAAAGATTTCAATATAACAAAATGAAACTACAAATAAGAAAACATGGGAGAATTTTTGAAAAATAAGCTTAATGCTTAGAATGCAAAAACAAACCCAAAAAACCATAAAGGAAAAGATAAATTTAACACATAAAATGGCAATAAATAAATAAAGACGATAAGTGAAAAGGGACAAACTAGAAAACATATCTGTATACACAGTATGCTAGAATAGAGCTAACTTCCTTAATATATATAAGGCCTAACAAATTAAGAAGAGACAGATGAACAATATTAACAGTAAAAAGGTGCAACAGTACATGAGGAGGCAAATTAATATAAAAAGGAAACTCTCGTACATGGCTGGTGGGCATCACCAATTGGAATGACTTCTTTTTTTGGAAAGACTTTTTGAAAAAATAAAATTTTGCTCCCTTTTATGAGACAGTTGGCATTAATAGACCTGAATCATTATTCATCCACAAGATCTTGAATTTTCCAATTAAAACTATATATATGTCTATCCACACTTGTTGCTAAATGGTTATAGGACATATCTGTGTGTTTCTGGCTGCCCAGGAAAACAGGGCAACCTAAGCTTGTGTCAGGTCTTTTTTCAATTCATCTCGATGGAAGGCTTTATTAAACTTCCTTGTAGCCAGGAAAGTAACATGACTTGTTAACTATGAAATTCCACTTCTAAGAATTTATCAGACAGATATACCCACACATACACACAAAGTAAAACATTTATTGCAAAACTGTAACAATAAAAGTGAGGAAACAAACTAAAAGTCCATCACATAGGAACTTGTTAAATCACTTATGGAATGGACAATGGAATACTATGCTATGTTAAAATGAACAAGACAATGCACTTCCTACTCATTCCAGACAATCTCCAAGATATATTGTTTTTTATAAAAGGAGTAGGGGTAGGGAAGGTTCAGAACAGAACAGCATACAGAGTACACTATCATTCACGTTTTTTAAGTGAGGTATAAATACATGTGAATAGAATATCTCTAAGAAAATACCTAAGAAATTGATTAACAGTGGTTGCCTCTGGAGAAATAGGGGACTAGAGACAAAACAGTGGAAAGAAAATTTACTTTTCACCATTGTATAACTTTTAAAAACCATGTGTAAGTATTTAGTTTATTAAAAAGGTAAAATGGGGCTTCCCTGGTGGCGCAGTGGTTGAGAGTCCGCCTGCCGATGCAGGGGACGCGGGTTCGTGCCCCAGTCTGGTCCGGGAAGATCCCACGTGCCACGGAGCGGCTGGGCCCGTATGCCATGGCTGCTGAGCCATGGCCGCTGAGCCTGCACGTCCGGAGCCTGTGCTCCGCAAAGGGAGAGGCCACAACAGTGAGAGGCCCGCGTACCGCAAAAAAAAAAAAAAAAAAAAAAGGGTAAAATGGCTAGGAAACTTAATAGATGTAACAGACAAAGAAGAAAGGTAAATACTCCTATTTTTGAGTACAGAAAAAAACCTTGTGAAAAACAGGCAAGGTGTAAAAACAAACAAGTCACAAAACTTGAAATGTAAATATCCAACAAAGCCTATGAAAAGATGTTCAACCTCACCAGTTATCAAGAAAATACAGGGGCTTCCCTGGTGGCACAGTGGTTAAGAATCCGCCTGCCAATGCAGGGGACACAGGTTTGAGCCCTGGTCTGGGAAGATCCCACATGCTGTGGAGCAACTAAGCCCATGCACCACAACTACTGAGCCTGCGAGCCACAACTACTGAAGCTGGCGAGCCTAGAGCCTGTGCTCTGCAACAAGAGAAGTTACCCAATGAGTAGCTTACACACCGCAACGAAGAGTAGCCCCTGCTCGCCGCAACTAGAGAAAGCCTGCGTTCAGCAACAAAGATTCAGTGCAGCCAAAAATAAATAAATTAAAAAAAAAATACAAATTAAAAAACAGTTTCACTCATGAGATTGGCTAAAATGTTAAGACCAACGGTATCCAGCATTGACATGGCTGTGGGGAGTCATTTTGCATCTGTTCAAAGAAAGAAGTGTGCATATCCTTTCACCTAGTGAATTCACATTTAGGATGCTAATTACAGAAATACAGCACCTCTACAAAAAAGATATATGTACAGGTATCTTATTGTAGCAATATTTGTAATCACAAATACCTGGAAACAACCTGAATGCCATCAACTGACAAATAGCTGTATACTGTCTGAGGTGTAATCACAAGCTTGCATAATTTCTGTAATTGAAAAAAAAAAGAAAAAAAAACATACATCAAGCACTAACCTGAAGTCATCTTCTTCCTCTTTTTCTTGTTCTGCTCCCTCTTCCTTTCAGTTAGGCTCTCTTCATTTTTCTCTTCATCTTGTAGCTCCTGATGAGTTCTTGATGATTCACTCTCACCTGGGACAGACTTCTTGTTTCCAAAAGAGTCCAGTCCCTGTAGCACCTCCGAAGAATCAAAGTCATATTTCCTTTTTCCTATCTAAAACCCAGAAAATTTCAAATGAAATCTATAGACAGACTGGCACTGTTTTCACCCTAGCAGTGTTGGCAGTAAGGGTGTGAGTACAGTGACTCCCCATCTTTTTTATCTTTCACCAAATATTTGTTTGAGCTGACAAGTGTGTGTTTGGGCAAATGGAATCCAAGATGATACCTTTTCTGACCTTACAAAAGTAATAATAATAGTCATAATAGTAACTAACACTTATAAGCATAACACATGCTGTCAGGCAGATTTCTAAGCATGTTTAGTAGATATATTAAATTCCTTCTTCCTTCAACAACCCTAACGAGGTAAATAGCAATATTACAGATGAGAAAATCGAGGCATTAAGAGGTTAAGTAACTTGACCAAGGTCTCAAAACTAGTAACTGGCAGACCCAGGATTTTACCTGAATAATCTGGTTCCAGAGTTCAAATTCTTAACTACGCTATGCCGTCAGACAGAGAAAGAAGAAACACACGTGCTGCGCACACACACGAATGTCCCTAGTCCCACTACCAAGAAATCTTGATATTCAAGATTTTCCACAATTGGGCCCTAACTACTCCCGATTTATCACTCACTAATTCCCTATGTAAGATCTCCCATTTCTAAATCGCTCTTCTCATTGGTTACTTAACACGCCATGGAGTTGCGGGAATAAAAAAAAAACATGCCCACTAAAGGCATACGCATGCCAAGACAAACCTGGAGAGACTACAGTGAAATCATCTGTTCTCTCCGTTTGGGGTTTTTCAAATTCTTTTCCAACAGTTTCGGAAAAAAGATAACTTCTGAAAGTAAGATTCTAACTGTGCTTTGAATAAACTCAGAAAGGAGGCCGGGAGGAAACGTTTCCTTGCTAGACCCAACAAAGTCTACAGAATGATGGGAAAAAGAGTTCATTCAGGAGGCTGCAGTACGCTGAACGCTAAGGGAGGGAAAATGCCCCACAGCCAGGCCACGGGGGTCTCCGAGTGCCGGCTCCCCCAGCAGCCAGTTCCTTCTCCGGCACCTGCCCCTTCTCAGTTACTCAGGCTTCTGACGCCTTGCACACAGTACCTTGAATCGGGCAGCGTCCGCCGAGAAGCGTCTCACGTCGAATTTGGCCCCCGCGCCGAGCCGGCGAAACAGATCGTGAGCATCCATCTTTTCCCAGAAAGCTCCGCGGTCCCACAGCGCCTGCGCAGAGGACTCCCCTCCCGGAAGGTCTGGGCGGAAGTGGCTCCGCGGGGCGGAGCCTGGCGGCAGTGAGAGTTTGGGAGTTTGAATCGTCTTACAGTGTGTCGTTTTTTATTTGTTCTTTAAAAAAGTATTTATAAGCCGGGCACTGTTCTACACTCTTAGGGGTAGTTTGGTAAACAACACCCCAGGAATCTCACCTCGGGAAACATATTTTAGTGGGGATGGAAGATGTTAACAAATAAATAAGCAGAATAATTCCTGAAAAAGTGCTATGAAACAAAACAGTGTAATTGGTAGAGAAAGGGAGAGAAGCCACTTTTAGGTAGGTTAGTTAGGTTCATTCTGATGATGTGATATTTGATCTAAGAGGAGGCAGCCTTTCCCAGATATGGGAAACAGCATTCCAGACACAGGAAACATTGTATGAAGAAGGAAAAAGTTTTGGAACATTGAGAAAATAGAAAGAAGGCCAGGGTGACTGGAGCCAAGTTGCAGTGAGGGAGTGGTACAGATAGGGTTGAAGGGACAAATGAAAATCAGATCTCATAGACTTTTTTTTTTTTTTTTTTTTGGCGGTACTTGGGCCTCTCACTGTTGTGGCCTCTCCTGTTGCGGAGCACAGGCTCCAGACGCGCAGGCTCAGCGGCCATGGCTCACGGGCCCAGCCGCTCCAAGGCATGTGGGATCCTCCCAGACCGGGGCACGAACCCGTGTCCCCTGCATAGGCAGGCAGACTCTCAACCACTGCGCCACCAGGGAAGCCCTCATAGACTTTTATAACAGGGTCATGGTAAGGAATTTGGATTTTAATCTAAGCATGTTAGGAAGCTATTCAAATTTTTTTACTGAGAGTGCAACATGACTTAGTTTATTACATTTTGTATTAATTTTCTTCATTGTATTTGTACTGTACAAAATTATTTACTTATGAGTTGCCTCCCCCTTCTAGAATGAAGTCTAGGAGCACAGAGATCTAATTTGCTTCACTGCTGTACCCCCAGTTCCTGTGTGCTCTCAATAAATATTTGATGAATGAATGAGTGAATGCTTTGCAAAAGATTACTCTGGCTATTTGGAGGATGGACCATAGAAAGGGTAAGAGTGGAAACAGTTCAGTCAAAGTAGAAATGATGATGGTGGCTGGGATCAGGGTGGTATCTGTGCTGATGGAGTTAAATGGATAGATTTGGGGTATATTTTGGAGGTAGGTCTAAGTTCACCTGATGAATTTCATGTGGAGGTGAAGGAAAGGGAGGAAATACTCCTAGGTTTTTTGTTTGAAATCCGGGGTAGGTGGCATGCCATTTACTGAGCTAGGAAAAACTGAAAGGAGAACAGCTTTTTTGTGTGTGAGGTTGAGGCATGGGGGGTGGAATCAGTTTTTATGTTTTGGGCATGTTAAGTTGCCTCGTTGACCTTAAGTGGAGATGTCCAGGTGAGTAGTTGATTCCATGAATCTGAAGCTGAGGGGAAAAGGTCAGGGCTAGAAAAATAAGTTTAGGAGTCATCAACATATAAATGGTACAATGGAATCATACCAAACAAGCATTTAACTTATTAAAATTGAGTTATACATATTCAGCCAGAGAGTGTGAGAAATACTTTAAATTGTGTGATTCCTTTACACTCAAGTAAAGTAAGTGTGGAGTGAGGATGAGATGAGAGATGTGAGTCTGCTGTACCCTCAGATGGAGTCAGTCCCCAATTCTCTCATTGTGGGAGCAGCTTGCTGTTCCAATTGTGTCTGCTCTTTAAAAATAAGTATTTTTCATGAAATGTGGCTCCTAAATGAAAGCCCCAAGTACTTTTTCATCTATTGCTCAATAAAAACAATTTATCTCAACATGGCAAGGGAAAAATAATCAACTGAGTTTTTTAGGAAATGGAGTGTTGGTCTTCAGTTTGGCACATAAATATGGCCACAATCATGTGTAAAATCAACATGTATGAAACCACAACTTCTGTAATTTATAGGTGATTTAAGTAGTTTCCAAGAGTAATTACACTTCATGAGTTTTTTTTTTTTTCTTTATGAGCCGACTTTAGAACCCAATCCCTATGTAAGTGGTGACAAACCCATATCTAAAAGCACAGTCATAAATGTGATCACTTAGAGACATTGTGTGACTAGGGAAGAGAAGGGGACCCAGAACTCACCTTTAGAGCACACCAGCATTTAGAGATTGGGTAGAGGAGGATATAACTATAAAACAAAAGTTTGAGAAGCAATCAGTGAGGTAGGAAGATGAGGAATGTGGTGTCCTGGCAGCCAGAGGAAAGTTTCAAAAAGGTAGTGATCAGATGTTTCAAAGGCTGTTGAGAGGCTGAGCATGAAGAAAAAAGATCACTGAATTTGGCAACAAGGAGGTCACTAGTGACCTAATATCAGTTTCAGTGGCATGGTGGCTGGAGATGATTGAGCACTAGAGGTGGAAAAAGGGACACTGTGATGAAGCCAACTCTTTTTTTTTTTTAATAAATTTATTTATTTTTGGCGGTGTTGGGTCTTTGTTGCTGCATGCTCTTCGTTGCAGTGCACATGCTTCTCAATGCAGTGGCTTCTCTTGTTGCAGAGCGTGGGCTCTAGGTGCACCGGCTTCAGTATTTGTGGCTCGTGGGCTCTAGAGTGCAGGCTCAGTAGTTGTGACGCACGGGCTTAGTTGCTCCACAGCATGTGGGATCTTCCGGGACCAGGGCCCGAACCTGTGTCTCCTGCATTGGCAGGTGGATTCTCAACCACTGCACCATCAGGGAAGTCCCTGAATCCAACTCTTTCCAAAGGTTTAACTGAGAAGGAAAGCAGAGAAGTAGAGTAGTAACTAGAGGCAGATGTGGGTTCAAAGGTGAGTTTTGCTTTTTTTTTTTTTTTTTGATATAAACCTGGAGCAAGTTTTCACAAACTCCATCTTTTGGTTTGTGCCTTTTTCATACTTTATTACATTGTTTTTTTAAAAATCACAACAGCAGTATCAAAGACAACCTATGTACAAACATTTTACAAAAGAAATATTGCTAGTATCAGCTGTAATAAGGGCAAGTTGAAGAATAGATGCTGAGTTTCTGGGCCAAAGTCTGCCCTCAAAGACATCTAAAATGTTTTCAGGCAGCTGAGACAGGCTTCTTTCTGATGACAAGCATGTGTGGTCGGTAATATTAATACAAACGATGGTAAATGAGGATACTACTGGGCCCAAGTAGCGAACTCCTCATCAGGAAGGCCACCATACAAGTGGAGCTAATCCAATAACCTAAACCCAAGACAGTAAAAGCGCTGTTTCCCATCTAAACGCATTTAAGCCTTCAGCAATGATTGCGTCACATGTAAACGATGCTGGGTTGTCATACAGACACTTGATTCTTATACATAACCCTATGCCAAACTTCCCTTAACTCTCGAGTCAGGTTTCTGGTTGGACCGAAAGGGGAGGAATTTTAGAAATGCTTCCTTCAGGACAGAAGTCAGAAAGAGAGGTGATCCTGAGAACAGGATCTATTAAATTTGGTGGCGGCTGGGGGAGGCAGGAATTTGGGAGGAGGAATGACTCCTTGGGGCCAAGAATCAAGAAGCGTGACTCACTTGGGTCTGGGACCTTGCTGAAATCCGATCCCCAGCCCCGCCGGTATCTACAAGCTCGGTTCCTTTCTCATCTCCCCCAGTTCCTTCATCTCCACCTTCTTGTACTTCCCCGACTTCCTCCGGTTGGTGATCACCAGGACGGTCACGCCGGCGACCAGGGCCACCACGACCACCACGATGACGGCGATGAGGCCGCTGGTGAGGCGCTCATGGAGAACTGGGGGTAACTTCTCATCCACGAGGTAGATGAGCGTCCGCTCCAAAAGCAGGGGCTCTCCGCGCACGCGCACGTCGAGGCCGCGGTGGCCGCTGAACAGCGACTCGCCCTTGACGTCCCTCTCAAAGTAGTAGGTGGCGTCGGCGATGTCCGCGGCGTCGGCGATGTCCACGTCGCCGGCGACCTTCTGCGACGTGTGCTGCTGCAGCTCGATCTGGATGGTGGGGTGCTCGTAGTGCACGGCCGCCACGAACTTGGGTGCAGCCGGTCGCGCTCCCGGAAAAGCCGTCGCAGCTCGGCCTCCAGGTCCGAGGGGTTGAAGGCGCGGGCGGCCGGGCGGTGGCGCAGGTCGATGAGGATGGGGTGGGTGCGCACCAGCTCGTCGCAGCGCAGGCTCAGGTCGCCCTTGTCGGTGCGGCGCATGCCCACCGAGTTCACGCACCACCACACGGACGTCTGGTTGCACTAGCGCGCCTTGAAGCGGCCCTGCTGGTCGCAGTTCGGGTCGAACAGGCCGTCGTTGTCCAGGAGCGCGTGCTCGCTCGGCCGTACCAGGGCGCGGACGCTCTTCCGGGCGCTCACGCGCGCCTTGAGCAGCAGGCACTTGGATGTGAGCGTGGAGCAGTCGACCTCCAGGCCCGAGCCGAGCACGCAGCACAGGCAGCGGCCACCCGGGCCGCTCCGGTCGCACACGGTCACCTTGCTGGTGGGGCACGTGCAGTTGTCCTGCGCGGCCGCTTGGTCGATCACCGCCGCCAGTAGTAGGAGCGGCGGCAGCAGCGACGGCGAAAGCAGCGCGAGGCCCGGACCCTGGGCCACGGTGGGGCGGGGCGGAGGAGTGCGGAAGGGGCGCGGGCTGGCGAGCGCTGGGGCCTCTTCCGAGCTCGGGCTCCGCTGTCTGAGAAGGTCTCCAGGTGTCTGGGGTTTTGCTTTTTGTTTTTGATGTTTTTAAGGATGGGTGCTAGGGAATATCTGTAAATTGCAAGGAATGGTCCAGTGAAAAGATGGAAATTGTTGATGTAACAGAGAAGGGAGAAAATAATGGGATGGGCGTGAGATGAGATTTTGTCAGGGAGTGTTGGAGGGCTGAGGAGGGAAGAAATTATATGAAATAACATCCTCAAAGAGTGGCAAAATGAACTTACTGGGAAAAAGCAATAATACCGATGGGCAGTGAATGCTCATTTGAGTTGGAAACAATGAATTAATCAGCATGATTCAGCTACTTAGATAAGGGTGTGAAGAAGTTGTATTGCTGGATTTAGCCGGGGTTAAAGTATTTTCAGGTAAATATGATAGAGGATTATGGAAGAACTCCTTGTGCGCCTTCTCCCGCCTCACAAAGGTCCCCTGGGATTGATAGTTCAACAGAGATTTGACCTCCTGAAACCCAAGAAGGAAGGGGAAAATCGCTGGGAATGGCAGTCTTATTCAGAATAATACTCTGGGTTAGATTAATAATCCAACTTGCTTCCCTTCTTTCAGAGGAAAGAATTGTATGGAGTGTTGAATATGTGCTCTATTTTACTTTCATAAGCATATAGTTAGAGAGTAAAACAAGTCTGAGTTTAAATTCCTCCCAGCCTCTCCACCTGCCAGCTGTGACCTGGTCAGATTAACCTCTCTTGGTCTAATTTCCTCATTTGTAAAATGAGGATTATGATACCTACAGCAGGATTGTTATCAGCGTTAAGCTGGGCTCATAGGGCAATGGTGTATAATGGAAAAAGCATGGGTTTTGGGTGTCAGAAAGACTTATGTGTGAATCCAGTTGTATCATTTAATAATTTGACCATTGTAGGCAGGTTATTTCACTGTTCTGTGCCCCAATTTCCTCACTGGTAAAATGGGGATTATAGGATTACAATATCCTATAATCCTACCTTGAAGGCTAGGAGTAACACTGGTTCCCCACACAGAGATCAAAATGGTGGGAATTGGCTTAGGATTCTATCTATCTATCTACATTTATCCATATTAGAAATATGTATTATATATATGTGTGTGTTATTGTATAAAGCTTTTGGAACAAAATCTCAAACACAGTAGGTTCTTAATAAATATTAGTCCTTTTCTCTCTTGCAGTCCATTCTCCTAGAGCAATAGTTCTTGGCCTTAACAGCACTTTAGAATCCTCTGAGAAACTTAAAAAACAAAAGAAAACTTGGTCCAACCCCCAGAAATCCTGGTTTCATTGTTCTGGAGGAGCTTTCTGGCCTGTAATTTTTGAAAGCTTCTCAAGTGAATCTAATTGCACTCAGGATTAAGAATCACTGCTAGAATTATCTTTCCAAAGCCCAAATGAGACTATGTTGCTTCTCTGCTTAAAAATTTCTCATGATTTTCCACTGTCTACTGAGTGTAGTCCAAACTCCTGTGACTTGTACGCCAGACCCTTAGCAGGGATTCTCAACTCTCTCAGGACACATGACACACTCCCATAAATAACTTCAGCTTGAGTTCAACTGCCCCCAACCCTTTTACTTAGCAGTTGTGTGATCTTAGGCAAGTTACTTATCCTCTGTAAGCTTTAATTTTATCATCTGATTTTCCCTTTGCTTCTTCTAACTCTGAACCTTTGTACATTTTTTTTTTCTTCTTGGAATGTCCTCTCTCTTTTTCCTCTCTGGAAAATGCCTTATATTCTTTGAAATTCAGTTTATATGACTTATGGTTACCAAAAGGGTAAGGGGGGGGGCAGATAAATTGGGAATTTGGGATTAACAAATACACCGTACTATATATAAAATAGGTAAACAACAAGGACCTACTGTAGAGCACAGGGAACTATATTTGATATCTTGTAATAACTTATAATGGAAATGAATCTGAAAGAGAATATATATATGTATAACTGAATCACTTTACTGTACACCTGAAACATTGTAAATCAACTATACTTCAACAACAACAACAAAAAATTCAGGGGCTTCCCTGGTGGCACAGTGGTTAAGAACCCGCCTGCCAATGCAGGGGACACGGGTTTGAGCCCTGGTCTGGGAAGATCCCACATGCTGTGGGGCAGCTAAGCCTGTGAGCCACAACTACTGAGCCTGTACTCTAGAGCCCGCGAGCCGCAACTACTGAGTCTTCATGCCACAACTACTGAAGCCCACGCGCCTAGACCCTGGCTCTGCAACAAGAGAAGCCACTGCAATGAGAAGCCCATGCACCGCAAGGAAGAGCAGCCCCTGCTCGACGCAACTAAAGAAAGCTGCATACAGCAACGAAGACCCAATGCAGTCAAAAATAAATAAATTTATTTAAAAAAAATTCAGTTTATATGTTGTCTCCTCTGAAGCTTACCCTGAATGTCCCCTCCTTGACATAGTCCCTCTTCTTTCTTTGAGTTTTCATGCCACTTTGTAAATGCCTCTATTTTAGCTCTTTTCCTGTTGCATTGTAATTTTGTTTTCCACATCTGTCACATACCAGACTTTAAGCTTTTTGAGGGCTGGGCCTGTATCTCATTTATCTTCATATTATGTTGACCTAGCATGGATACTGTTTCATAGTTAAGCGGTCAATAAATCTTGTTGAATTAATGAAGTGAAATAAAATAGACAAAGATTCCTGAAACTGCCAACCTTGTGGATTTAGGAAAGGACCTATATCTTTTGCTTGGTGCTTTGTAATAAATTTTGGCTGAATGAGCGAATAAAGTCAAATGAAACTGTCAGACTGATATCATTTTCTACCTTGACAATGTCCAGCTGACTCATTAAGGGACCATTTCCTCTTGGGAAGAAAACAAAGCAAAACAATTAAAAACCATCGTCCATAAAAGCGGTGAGGAAATGGAATCATGGTTCTGTATAAGTGGAATTTCTCCAAAAACCAGTATGGTCTGACTGGTAGACACACATGGTTTCTCAACTGTAGCAAGTGAGAACTGTATAAAGCTGCAGTGGGAGCTGGTTGGGATATCTTGTTGTTATGGACAGAGTGATCACTTCATGTCCTAAAAGTATGTTTTTGAAAATCTTTCTCTCCTCCACTCCCTGCTTCTCATTCAACAAACTTTGGCATTGTTTTCACAGTGTGATCGGCATGGACTTGGGCTTAGAGATGCAGAGATAGACACAGTCCTTGCTCTCAAGTAGCTTAAAGTCTGCTAAGGATAGGGACTAAAGTCTGTTAGAGTCTGTTTTCAAACAGCAAGAAAATTCCCTAAGCACTGTATAAGTTATAGGAGGTAAGGGAGTGTTTGCTCAGTGGTGGTAGGATGGGATGGGCTTTGTAGGAAGTTAGGAAAGTTTTGTAGAGGGAATAAAGCTTGCAAACCCTTAAAAAAAGATGTTGGCAAATTAGACAAGACGGGCAAGTCTCTTTTAAATAAAGGGAACAGTAGCAACAAATGTAAGAGGGTATGAAAATGCCTTTTGTGGGACTTCCTGGTGGCGCAGTGGTTAAGAATCTGCCAGCCAATGCAGTGGACATGGCTTTGAGCCCTGGTCCTCCGGGAAGATCCCACATGCCACGGAGCAACTAAGCCCGTGTGCCACAACTACTGAGCCTGTGAGCCACAACTACTGAGCCCACATGCCACAACTACTGAAGCCCGCATGCCTAGAACCCGTGCTCTGCAACAAGAGAAGCCACTGCAATGAGAAGCCCGCACACCGCAGCACAGAGTAGTCCCCGCTCGCCACAACTAGAGAAAACCCACCCATAGCAACGAAGACCTAGCACAGCCAAAAAATAAAGAAAAAAAAAAAGAAAATGCCTGTTGTGTTTGGGGATCTATTAGTGGTTCAACAAAACCTGAAGTGGATGATGCAGCAAGAGGTGGAATCAGACAGGTGGGTAAGGACTAGCTCCTGTACACCTTATGGGTACGCCAAAGAGCTTGGACTTGATCTTGCAGGCATTGAGAGCCATTAAAGGATGTCAAGTTAGTGATATAAACAGCTTTTTAATTTTAAAAGATCACTCTAGCAGCAACATGGAAGGGAGGCAAGCCTGGAGTCAGGGAAACCAGAAGAATATCACGGTAGTAGTTTAGTGAGGGAAGAAGGCAGTAGCAAAAGGGAAGAGGAGAAAGGAGCAGATCTAAAGGACATTAAGGTGGTGACATTGATAGCACTCCCTTAGTGATTAGATGTAGGAAGACGGAGAGAGAGAAGCCTAAGGTAGCTCCCAGGTCTCAAACTTTGGTGACTGGGTGAGGGGCCTCTGTTTATGGGGATGGGGAATATTGGAGGGCTAGGATAGTGTGAGAACAACATAATAAAGTTTAATTTTGAGAAGGTCTGAGTTTGAGATTTCTGTGGAACACCTGAGTGGAGTTCCTAATGGCCATTTGGAAATAGGAATTATTTCTTTGCAAAGGGAGCTAGAAACTTCTAGATCACAGCTTCAGGGTCTTAATTAAAAATAAGCTGAGGAGAGAGTGATTGGCTATAGATAATAAACACAGCAGCCATTCACACAGACAAAAATCTCACTTTCCCTGGGGCTAAGTTTTCAATATCAAATTCTCAAGCCTTACCCATAGTCTTGTACTTTAGAAATCCAAAGCAGGTACTTAAGGAATCCAGATTCTTACACTTTTTGTACATTTCTGTTTTGCCATCAAGAGTCCAATGTACAAAATGTTAAGAGTCAAAAGTATAACATGTTCTTTTCAGGCTTTAATGGAAGTTTAACGCAATATAAATGTAACCACTCAAATATGCTCGTAATCAGGACAGAATTCAAGTAAACATTGCCAGAACCAAAGCTGACCTCACGGTGGCACTCCAGTCTTGTCGGAATAAAGGGCTCTGGAATCACCTTACTAAACTCTTAAGTGGACAGTCCACTCTGAAGTAAAGAGTTGGCATAAACTCTGGGTCCATAGGCCACACAATTAAACTACCTGGGGAGAATTTACAGGGAAGGATATCCTTTTGTTTTTAAATCCGCTCTGACCTAAGGCTGGATCAACAGTACAGGGTATGATATGGCAGCAGGTCTCCATCCAAAAAAAGAAATTTCACCGGGGTTCAAAACTAACCAAAATAATACCCTCATTATTATTTATTAATAGCTACCATTTATTGGTACCTACTGTGTGCCACATACAGTTCAGAGTGCCTTTCATATTATATGAGCTCACTGAACTCTCATACCAGCTCCGTGCAATTGATAATTATTCTCGTTTTTCTGAGGAAGAAGCTGAAGCTCAAAGACATTAAGTCACTTGCCTCTCAAGTCATCCAGGTAGTAAGTATCCATGCTGTATTTTGAACTCAATCTGTATGATTCCAAAATTTGAGGTCTTTAAGCAAGGCTGCATGGCCTCGTATTATTGATGCCAAAATTAAAGCAGTAACAAATGAAACTTTGTGGTTTCCTTTGGGTATAGACTGTTTGGATTGAGGTGGTTTAAATAATACTGTATTTAGGGAGATCTAGTGAGGACCCCTATTGTGAATTTGAGGCCTCTTCCTGAAACTCTTCACCACCTATAAGAAACAGGATATTTACATATTCACAAAGTATGTCCCACAAGGTATTTATTAATTACAAAGAGAAAAAGAGCAAATTTACAGTGGAGAAATCTTGCAGATGCTATGTTAATACAATAAAGTATAAATGAGAAAGCAAATGTGGTAAAATATCAATATCTGTGCCACAGAGAGATTCTTTTCCTTTTACAGTGGAAAAAACAAGGGGACAGGGAGGTTCTGTTGACAGGATTGGTCAGCAGTGGAGCAGAGGACTAATTTCTATCTTTGATCTCCATCTGTGAAAGCCCAAAGCCCACAAAGGTTTCCAAATGAAATAGTTACCTTTCTAAGGGGTAGAGAATTATTGATGAATCCTGGACTCTATATAAAGGAAGACTCCCAAATGAAAGACACAAATAATAAAACTCCAGAATAATGTTATTATACTGATTATAGACGGTAGAGATGGGAGTTAGTTGTCCTTACTCCTCCAATGCTTAATCAAGAGTGTCAAAGCATATTTACAAAGCATTTTTTAAATGCCTTACAGACTTCAAAGCCATAAATAGCTTCTCTGTCTCTCTAGGGCTAAATGCCAGCATTTTTGTACATCCTCAGTCTAAGAGAATTACCAATCTGTCTATTTCTTTAAAGATCTGTTCTTTTAGTGAGAAGGAAAAGATGTCTAGAGAAGCTTTTTGTTCAACATGTCGGTGTTCGCATGATTTACAGTATAATTAACCAGCCCTGTAGCACCAGCAGACCAGCTCCTTTTACTATTCATCATGTTTCCAGTGACTTCAGATCATCAACTCTGTTGGGAGGAAATACCTCCTCCTTAGAGATGTAAAAATATTATGTCCCTGATCATTCCCACAGGCAGAATGTGATCCATCCTTATATAAGTATTGTTTTTCAGATCTAAGGGATTCCTCCCCCACCCCATTATTTTTGCACATCATTACTCTCAGAGCTAAAATCTAATTAAATAAATACATGCAAAATCTAAAACTACTTAGGAAGAATTTTGTTATTCGATTGCTTATAATTACCAGAACACATTTGTTAAGATATGAAAGTCTGGTAACTCAAAATCTAAAACAAAATACCTATGTAAACAAATATGTAATAAATATTATCACAGATCTATTTTAAATCTCTATATTAAAACCTTATTAGGCATCTAAAAAACTTCAAAAGTGTTCACTTTGGGCCCAGTAATTCTACTTCTAAGAAGTTACCCTAAATATACACCTCCAACAATATGAAAGTACATATGCACGAGGTTAATTATTGCAGCACTGTTTGTATTTGCAAAATAAGGGACACAACCTAAATGCCCATGTAGAGGAGAGATGTTGAATAAACTATAGTACAAGCACATAATCGAGCACTACACATCTGTAAAAAAGAATGAAGAAGACATTTGCAAACTGATAAGGAATAATTTCTAGGATATACTGTTTAGTGAAAAAAAGCAAAGTACAAAAGAGTATCTGTAGTATGCTACCTTTTGTGTAAGAAAAAAAGGGAAGTGAGAAAAATACACAAGTGCCTGCATTTTGACCAAAAAGCAAACCAGGAAGGATAAACCAGAAATTAATGAGATTACTGTTACTTACAGGAGGTGGTTGGGGATGAGTTGAAAGAGTAAGTAGAAGGTAGAAAGTGACATTTCTCTTGAATACTCCTTTTTATATAGTTCTGTCTTTTGGATCCATGTTAATAATTCATATATTAAGTAAAACACACACACACACACACACACACACACACACACAAATAGGGGGAAAGCCTGAAAATGGAGCACAAACAAATCAACCTAATGGTTTTAAATGAATAATATAAACACATTGAAAAGCACATGTTTTTGTGTGGGAGGGAAAACTAACTCAAACCAAGTAACTTTAGAATATGATATTTTTTGCTATATACTCTCAGACTAAAGAAAAAATGAACTGTAAATGAATGTTAAAATGAAATTGGTTTGTTTTTTTTGCAGTGGTTGGGTTTTGTTTCGTTTTGATAGCAATTCTAAAACTACTTTCTGTGTAATCTGAGATTGGGTGAAGAAGTAAATGTATAAAATATATTATAAACAATGAGATTCAATTTTCTCACTGAGAGAAAAGAGAGTTACAAATATGGAAAGAGAGAAGAGTAGAATGAATTCTATAGTATTGGATTAGAATTGGACATGACAGCCCTGTCCACTGAGAAAGCCCAGAAGCAATGACACCCCAGGAGCAATTTGGTTTCTAAACTCTGTTTGCTGCTAAATGGGGCCAGGGCCCCTTGGAGGACTGGCGGATTCTAGAGCTAGAGCTGGGAAAGAACAAGATGAACCTTGAACATCGTATTAAGTTAGTAAATTAGGAAATGCTCAAAGAATGGTAGGACAGGTCAGAATGACAAAAAGAGCTGTACTGAAGGGATTAGTACCAGCCAAATCTGGGACAATTAAACATAAAAATAAATACTGATAGTCATGTATTACAACCCACCGAGTAAAATAAGAACACATAGGCATATAAATAAATGAAAGAGTAAATAATGTGGGGGAAGGGAAAGTGAGTCTCAATAGAATGTCAGCTAATAAATTTAGAAGGAATGATGGAATTAGAAAAGTCACTATTTGGCAACCATCATAGTAATAATTGAATAATCAATGGATGGTAGAATGAGTAGGTGAAATCTGGATGAACAGGATATTTACATAGCTGCAAAGCATGTTCTCACAAGATATCATTATTATTATTTTAATTATCTATTTACTTATTTATGGCTGCATCATGTCTTAGTTGCAGGATCTTTCGTAGCAGCGCTCAGGCTCTTTGTCGAGGCGCGTGGGCTCAGTTGCCCCACGGTGTGTGGGATCTTAGTTCCCTAGCCAGGGATCGAACCCGTGCCCCCTACATTGGGAGTGTGGAGTCTTAACCACTGGACCACCAGGGAAGTCCTCTCACAAGATATTATTAATTACAAAGAGAAAAGTAGTAAATGTATAGTGGAGAAATCGGCAGGCGCCATGTTAACAAAAGGATCAAAGTAAATGATAAAGCAAATGGGGTAAAATCTCGATATTTGGGAAATCTTGGTGAGATGTATACGGGAATTTTTGGTACTATTTTTACAACTTTTCTGTAAGTCTGAGATTACATAAAAATAAAAAGTTAAAAAGAAAAGCTTATTAAAGCCTTTCTGAGGAGTTTGCTAGGCTATAGCAAAACAAAGGTTGTAATCAATGTATAGCAAGTTAATTCTGCCTGCCTCCTTGGCAAAATGGTGTATGGAAAGTCATTGTTGGGAAGTAGGAGGTGGCAGGAGGGCAAAAACCTTATTAGATGTTTCCTTGAACAAAATTTTTTCAAAAATTCTTTTTGAAAAGATGTAAACCTGTTGAAAAAGGGTTTTTGATAGCAATTTAAAAAACTATGCATGTATAACTGAATCATTTTGTTGTATACCTGAAGCTAACACAACACTGGAAATCAACTATACTTCAATAAAAATAGAATAAAATAACGAAATATATACCTAATTAAAAATGAAGCTTTTCTGTACTTAAAACTGAGCAAGAGAGTTCTATAACCATTTAAACACTATTACTCACTCAAAATACTCTATATATAAAAAGAAAAGCACACTAAAACATAGGTAATTAACTGAAATAAAAATCAATGTGACATTCAAAAATAAATAAAATAAAAGGCTCTCTAGTATGTAGCAGAGACAAATTCTGTTTCTAGTTGGTAAAAAAACATAATTGGATGAAAATTTAAATGCCAGGAGACATAAAGATCAAAGAAATAAAAAACTTTTAAATGGAGTAATTTCTGTTCTCTTCCCAGATAGTTAATTTAATAGAAATTTCTGATTATGACGGCAGTTATAAATCTTTGATGTTACTGACGCAGAGACACACTCCTAAACTGTTGTTTTTTTTCTATCACATAGAAAGATTGAAAACCGTCCCAGGTAACAAATACTACTACTGCAACGACTTGCCAGATAGTATTCTAAATATCGTTCGTACATTAACCCATTTAATCTCACCGCAACCCTGGGCAGTAGATACTATTATTAGACTCAGTTTACAGTTGAAAAAACCAAGGTTCTCAAACTTTCTTGATTAACTGTGCTCTTAGTGTCTTCCGTAGTTTTTTCACGGCAACTCAGGCCAAAAGAAATAACGTAATAATTCAATTTATTGAGTTGTTAGAGCCAAATCTCTTAACATCTATTTATGATTTCACAATTTAGTAGCCATTAAAAGTACTTATGAATTGAAAGAGAAAATATATTCTTATTTTCTTGTAAAATAATCACGATTACTTGCTAATGGGATGGATGAGCCTGTTGAGGTCTGTACTTCTCAAACCATGAGCTCAGATCAGACACGGCCACACTCATTTTCTGTTCCACACCAATATTCACGCAGTACTTGCTTTTCATCACAACTGCAGAAAACCCAGCTTCTCAAAGACGTAACATCAAAAGGATAATGGTCTGATGCTGAAACCATGATTTACTCTGTACTAGAAGTTCACATGCATTCTGACAGATGTTGAGTGTCACTGTGTCGCTCTTGAAGCTTTAAAAAATATTCTATGTTCTCCCATAGGCTTGCTGCTGCGGCACCTTGTGGTGCCTTGGGGCACAGTTTGAGAACTGTACAGCTCATATAGAATTATTATTCAGTCTGGGGGACAAAATTCTTGGGGGAAAATCAAAATCAGAATAGTGTGAACATTAACAAATTGTAGAAAGAGTTAATATTAAAAA